AGTTAGATCCTGGTTACCTTCCCTGGTAGGTGACCTTGATAATCCCTGTCTTTGATTGGCAGGAATTTCTGGTTGCCAAGCAACAGGAGGTTGACCATCCAGGGCACCCATCATAGCCATCATACTTTGATGCTGAACCTGAAGATAACAAAGATAACTCCATAATCTAAACCTATTTTAAGCACATTTTTGCCTCAGATAACAAAACTCCATTTCAATCTATCAAGTTATAATGCTGGAATATATCAACTTTTTCTCAACTGGAAGAGCTTATCTTGAAAATGTACAATATATCACGAGTAAATAGAACTTACTTCCATCATTCTTCTTAGTTCTCCTCTAACAATATGTTGTAATTGTTGTGCTAAATCCATTCCAGCAAGGTTCACATTTCCCGCTGATCCTGGTTGCTGAGACATAATCCCCTGATCACCAACAGAGGGTGCTGTATGTCTGGGGTCCCCTCCAGGTAGTCCACCTCTGTAAAATTTGAATTAACAAGTTGTAAAATATAATTCTGATACCATAATGAATTGTGATTCAACACTGATTTTGTACATTTTAAATATATAGGGGCTTGTGCATGTATATTATTTTTCATTTAACATCTACTCAGCAATCGTCTTATCAGATAGGTGTCAGTTTTTCTAGTTGCTGAGAGTAAAAATCCTTACTATATTTACATGATACTGCATTAAGTCACATTACACTATCATAGACTGATCAGCTCTAGAACTGTCTGTTTTAAGCCAAATATGGAAAGTAGGGGCTGTACTAACAGGTTAATGTATTGTGGAGCCAAACCAGAAAAAAATTACCAGAATGCTAAATTAACAATGGCCCACTCTGAAGTGTTTGACAAGCTGGTATCATTTCTTATATAATATGAATAATTTAATAACTAAACACAAAACAATCAAGCTTATCAATACATACACATACAAACAAGCTTTTATTGAGGCATTATGAAAGCTAGCTTGTAATGCTTGTGTCACATGATCTAGTTACGCAGGCCCTATTATTATGAGGGTTTTTTTTTGGTCCTGGGCATCAAACTTATATATTAAATGACATCATTATCAATGTTTATTGTTACTGTTTGTAGCAAGAAGGGTATTATTGTCAAAACACAAAACAGCTGCATCTATATTTAAATCTAATTCATACAATATATTCATTGTCAATAACAATATTAATAACTTATTTCATTACTTATTAATTCAGTAAAAAATAAAATTTACTTTCATCTTAATAAATTTCAATATTTTAATTCTATACTTTTCATGAAAAAAGTGTATTATATCCAAAATGAATTATATCATAATAGGATTTTTAAGAACATCAAACCTGTTGTAACCAGAAGGTGGTGCTGTGTACTGGCCAGGAACTCCACCACTAGGGGGCAGTGATATCCGTGATATGTCTCCTTGAACTTCGGCTCTACGAGCACGATTTGCTGGACTGCGATTCCTCACTGGCGTACTTGTCTATAAAATAACATTCTATGAGATAACCTACCACTCAAAATTAAATACATGTGTAGTTAACTAGAATATTTTATATGCACTGATCTATAGAAATAATAATCTACCCGAGTTATTGATCATAAAGCATTACAAATATGTTAAAAATACATGCAAAGAAAGCCTTTTATCACATACAGACCATACTTAAAATAAACATGTAAAGATTAGCATGTGCTTTTAAAGGAAAACTTTCCCCAAAGATTATGATTTAATATCACAAAGTAACGAGAAAGATGACAGCATCAGACGGTCACAGTGCTATATAAAGCATTTCAACCTTTGTCAAAACTGGCGATTAAATAAAGTATGTACACAGACAGTCTAGACAAATAAAAAGTATTTTTAGTTTTTTCTGTTATCTTACAGAAACTAGCATCGAGTTAAATACATGTATGAAGTGTAGTTATTCTTAAAACTTTAATTTGGTAATGAGATGAAATACATGTATCAAGCAGTTAAATATCTAAGACTAAATCATTGATGAATATTTCTCCGACACCCAGCATCTAAATTGATCTAAATACAGTATGACTAACCTGAGGTGTTTGCTTGTTGGCACGCTCTGGGGAACCATCAAACTGAAGTGTATGATTAAGAGCCGAATTGTTCCTGGTTTCGGGACTAGACTCCACCAGCCTTGGGCTCTTACGTCTGTTCCTTCCTTTACTTCTGCTTGATCTGCCAGATCTAATCATATACAAAAATATATCAAAAATGTTTAAAATATAAAATTTAATATTGAAGTTTTTGTTAAATTTTTTCCCTATAAACACAGGATTCATTTTCATTGAGTGGTATGAAAATAAATATTTGACGAGTAGCTACCGTCTCAAGTGAAATATGATAATTTTCATACCATGAGATAAAATTAATCCTGTATTTATAAAAAAACTTATATTAAATACTTTTTCTCTTCTTTAACCTAACAATAAGAAAAGCTTCCCCTTCTTTAGTTTAGTGTAATGGCTGAATTTAGAAAAAAGTAGTCAGGCAAAATACAAGTAAAAATACGGAAAATATGTTTCACTGCATTTAAAAATAATTTTTTACAGTGAAAATTCGGAAAATTATAATACTTACAAAAATTCTAGCTTCTCAGAGAGATGTTATAATTTATAATCAACTAATATTATCAACAAAAACTAAATTTTTCTTACCCAGCAGCTGTAAGTGAATCCATGTCATCAGGTTCAAGGGAGCTAACTTCTAGAGAGCTGCTGTCATCTCCCCTGAAAGTACAAGTAATAACCCTTAATTTACTTATCCAATTTAAAAGCACACTGACTATGGTAAAATCAGGACCCTGTCTTATTGATGTTCTGACTTTATAGGTGAGTTATAGGAGCTCCACTGAGGTCCAAAAACTTAAAACCGAAATTTTGAAATTCTTATATATATATATAAGATAAGCTGGGGCAAATGAAATGAAAAAAACATTGCAAATGATAATTAAGAAATATTCTCAGAAGTAAATTAAAAATCAATTTTTTGTGCAACTATTTGTGTGATTAAAGTTAAAATTGTTTAAATGGTCAATTCTGGACAAACAGAGAGAGTGAATGATCTAAATTTTTGCAAACATTTTATTGGATCAGACCTACACAAATCTGGAAAAAGTACTTCCATTCTTGTCATGTAAAGCCTCAGTGGAGTCCCTTATTAATATAAGTATACTGGACAGTGTGACACAGATGTAAAAAGTGATTTTCTTTTATAAATGACGACTGATGCCTATCACAATAAAATGAACATGCTTCATGAAATGATAAATATCTAGATACATCAGTGAGAATATAATGTGTAAAAGATATGTTTAACATATACACACATACACACACATATTAAAGAGATAAACAGGCTAGATTACATACATTTAGCACACAGCAAACCACAAGTTAAACATAAAATGAAAAACAGAGATGAAAAATGAAACATGCAAGACTCTAAGGGCATAGAAATTAAATTCCTAAATACAGTTTATGGTTTTCAAAAGTTCAAAACTTACCAGTAGGATAAGAGGGACTTTTTATCTTATTGGTTTATATTTGGGACATGCAGGGATGTTTTTATTATTATCAATTTCTCAATGAAACAATCATCTTTTTAATGCACTTTGAAAGGAACAGTTCTGAGTTCAGATTATTTTGGTGAATTGATAAACTGATAGATCACTACACTTACCTTTAATTTGAATAATAATTAATTTAACCACTAACACTGACATGTGCTATTTTGTTAACAAATACATATAATGTTGTTGTATAGACTAATCTGATAATTAGAATTAGACTGGTCAGGGATCTATGCATTATCTTTGTGTTAAGTAAAGTAACTGGTATAAATGAAATTACAAATGATAAATGAGGATGAAATGAAATTTAGATACATTTATTCATGCTATTCAATTTTTACCTTCCTCTTACTAAATTTGGGTAACGGACTTGACCTGATTTAAATTGGAAACAGTTTATTGCTTATTTAATGGATTGTAACAAACATGTACCATAGTACTGTTACTACTGAAACCGAGTAGCTGGCCTAGTTTTATGGTAGTAGTATAGGCAAGACATTATCCTCCCTACCCTAGAACACAGAAGTTTTCCCCTTATTAATCCGCTGGAACCCAAAGTGATTAGTCTTAACCACTAGTATAGATCCTTGGCAGACTTCAGTCTATATGTCTGTTCAGTCTGACTAAGCTCTGTACTGTTGGTAGCCAAATTTTTGTATTTTGATATTGAAATGCTTTAAATTTCCATATCCAAAACCAAAGCAGATCAAAGGGTTAAATGACCCTTACATAAAATCGTATGATGGTCAGAAAGAACGAAAGTAAAGGCCACAGGTGATAGTTCATAGAAGAATATTTTGAGGAAAGGAAAGACATACATTAAAACATTCAATGTAAGTAAATAAATATATATACATGTCATCTCAATTAACATGCAGTAATAAATCTTCTACTAGCTTTTAAAGGCACATAGACATTAACCATTATTTAAAATGAGCCAGCCAGCATGCCTTGAAAAAATTACAATTCACTTATTCATATTTAAAATTTATGATTTTTGTTACAGAAAATGCCTAGTACCAGATTTGTAACAGATTTATTTCTGCATGCTGATAATAATTAGTATATCTATCACTGACTAGCTAAAATATATATACAAATGTTGAAATAAGCATCTTTTTTTTTTTATCTACGTCAGTGTATATACTTACTCCTTAATTCTATAACTGAAACAGAAATGAATGACAAGATGACATCATAATAACTTCATAATGTACGACTCTATTGTTGTTAAATATGATCTGTTTTCTTGTCCAGAAAAAAAACCCAACATGTTTTTTTTAACCCTTAACCTGCTGGAACCTTGAGAGATAAGCGCTTTGCCAGTAGTATACAGCCATCCATCCATCCATGCAGTCTGGCCACTTGTCAACAGGCTCTATACTGTTAGTGACTAAATTTTTGCATGTTGATATTGAAATCCCTTTTAAAAAATAATCTGGACTATTCCAAATTTAAAGCTGAACAAATTCAGCAGGATGAGTGTTAGCTGATACTACTGATAAACAAGAGGGCCATGATGGCCCTGAGGTCGCTCACCTGTATATAGGCCCCCTGAGCGGGGCCAGTTTAAACCCCAGGGCTTTTATTTGAACAAACTTGGAAGACACTCATTAGAAGATGTTTCACAATGTTAAGTTTTTACTACACACATGTAATGAAAAACAATGATCTCACCCCCCCACCCCCCATCTGCCCCTGGCAGGGCCAATTTTCACCAAAGTGCTTTTATTTGAACAAACTTTGTAGACATCCATAAGAAGATATTTCATACTAAACATCTAAGCTCTAGCTCATTGGGTCTTTTAAAAGAAGTTTTTTAGTTCTTACTACACACATATAGTTAAAAACAATGACACCCCTGGGGCGGGGCCAGTTTTGACCCCAGGGCTTTTATTTGAACAAACTTTGTAGACGTTTACTAGAAGATGTTTCATGCTTAATATCTGAACTCTAGCTATTTAGGTTTTTTCAAAGAAGATTTTTTAAGTTTTTACTATATGCATATAGGGAAAATCAAGACCCCCCGGGGCGGGGCCAATTTTGACCCCAGGGCTTTTATTTGAACAAGTTTTGTAGACACTCACTAGAAGATGTTTCATGCTTTATATCTAAACTCTAGCTATTTGGGTTTTTTCAAAGAAGATTATTTAAGTTTTTGCTATACACATATAAGGAAAATCAATGACCCCCAGGGCGGGGCCAATTTTGACCCCAGGGCTTTTATTTGAACAAACTTGGTAGACACCCATTAGAAGATGTTTCATGCTGAATATCTTAGCTCTAGCTCTTTGGGTTCTTTAAAAGAAGAATTTTTAAGTTTTTACTATATGCATATAGGGAAAATCAATGACCCCCTGGGGCGGGGCCAACTTTGACCCCAGGGCTTTTATTTGAACAAACTTAGTAGACACTCACTAGAAGATGTTTCATGCCAAATATCTAAACTCTAGGTATTTAGGTTTTTTCAAAGAAGATTTTTTTAAGTTTTTACTATATGCATATAGGGAAAATCAAACCCCCCGGGGCGGGGCCAATTTTGACCCCAGGGCTTTTATTTGAACAAACTTTGTAGACACTCACTAGAAGATGTTTCATGCTTAATATCTAAACTCTAGCTTTTTGGGTTTTTTCAAAGAAGATTATTTAAGTTTTTGCTATACACATATAACGAAAATCAATGACCCCCGGGGCGGGGCCAATTTTGACCCCAGGGCTTTTATTTGAACAAACTTGGTAGACACCCATTAGAAGATGTTTCATGCTGAATATCTTAGCTCTAGCTCTTTGAGTTCATTCAAAGAAGATTTTGTAAGTTTTTACTATATGCATATAGGGAAAATCAATGACCCCCTGGGGCGGGGCCAATTTTGACCCCAGGGCTTTTATTTGAACAAACTTGGTACACACTCATTAGAAGATGTTTCATGCTGAATATCTTAGCTCTAGCTCTTTGGGTTCTTTAAAAGAAGAATTTTTAAGTTTTTACTATATGCATATAGGGAAAATCAATGACCCCCTGGGGCGGGGCCAATTTTGACCCCAGGGATTTTATTTGAACAAACTTGGTAGACACTCACTAGAAGATGTTTCATGCCAAATATCTAAGCTCTAGCTCTTAGGGTTTTTTAAAAGAAGATATTAAAAGTTTTTTCTTTCGGTTGCCATGGCAACCAGAGTTCTGCATGGAATTAAATTCTTTGAACAAATTTTAAAGGTGACCACCAAAGGAACATTCCTGTGAAGTTTGGATGAAATTGGCTTGGTGGTTTATGAGGAGATGTCATTTAAAGTAAAAGTTTATGGACGGACGCCGGACGGACGACGGACGGACGGACGCCGGACGAAAAGCGATCACAAAAGCTCACCCTGTCACTTTGTGACAGGTGAGCTAAAAATAACCTGCAAGTATTACCAGAACCACAGATCTAAAAAATAAGAATTCTTTAATGCTTTATATAGTTTCATTCTACAAAACATACCTCGTCCTTTAGTTAGAAATGGGACAATATCACATGAATTTAATTAACATCAGATATTGATCAATGAATGTTTCTAAACATTATGATAAGTGTATCAGTACAGAGTTTGTGCAAAAACTAAAGTTATTTCCTGTTAAATCTACATTTTAAGCAATATGTGCAAATTATATTTATCAACTTCATTGTTTCTCTAAAATCTATTTCTTTATATGAATATAATCTAGTGAACTATTTTTTAATTAAAATTAACATATATATGCATGGCATATGTGTTTATGAAAATATACATGTATCAAGATATTTATAAATCTAGCATTATTAGATAAATCACTAAAATGTTAATTGATTTATGATAATGATACATACACTCTAATTTTTTAAATAAGCAAAGAAATAAAATTGCAGCTTACCCATCCAACACTTTCTTGTATGCACTTTTCAGTTCAGTTTCTTCCATTGTTGATGTTATACTTTTAACATAGTCCAGAGTCCTATCCCTTGACATATCAAATCCTGCACTTGCTGTCCTTGATACATCTGCTTTTGGACTGTGAGACCTTGACCTCTGACCTTTAGGACTATGCGACCTTGATCTTGGCATATTTGAGACCTGTGTGAAACTGTCACGCTCAGTTATTTCTTCTACAGTTCCTAGAGCATTCTGTTTCTTTCTTTCTACAGGAACATGATCATTCACTTCTCTTACAACTTCAGGCTCTGGTCTCTTCTGTTTAGAAGAACTATATTTATTTTCCAGCAACCAAAGTCCGAGCACAACAAGCTGTGTTGGCACTTCAATCCTCATTGTAGGCTTTAGCTCAATATCTTTCCCATGAAGACCAAGAGAATGTTGTTTGCCAGCCCAGTGACGAAGGTAGTCCAGTAAATGTTGGAGGGCAAGATAACGCTGGCCAAAGTTTACATCAAGGATCCAATGAGCTTCTTGACTATCTCCTGCGTCCTTATATAAAACTTCCTCAGACTGAAAAAATCGTGAAGCCATCCCTGTCATGTTAGGTTTTGCCCGGGAGGGAGATGGCATTCCCCCTTTAGATCGTCCTGGAGAGTTTTTCGTCAGCAATGAGCCTTCACTTTCAAATCGCATCATTCTATGGTGTCCGTGTAAAACATCAGTAGAGCTGTTACTTTTAAACAAGCTCCTTCCTCTTGCAAATGTTGGTGAATTCTTGGCTTCATACGCATCTGAAACATGAGACTCACTATGGCTCCTGATAAATTTTGCTCTAGGGGAAGCCATAACAACTGAACTTGGTTTCTTCTGATATGTTTCTTCATGCTTACTCAAGAAATTTTCAAATTCTGCATCTCTGATAAGTTTAGCAAATGGCATCAACAATGGGTACATAGATGACCTACCTGACTCTGACTCCTTCTCAACGACTTTAGTAAAACAAATGGCATAAAACCTGTCCAAGAACTCAAGGTAAGACTGTTTTGTCTCAAAAGGTCTAGATCCAATGTAAATAGCCCCTATATTGTTCATCTCTGTCTGTTCTGTGTTTTCATTATCACCATCGGCACAAAATACAAACTCGTTGTACTGACCGAAGAATTTACGCTTCTTTTTGAGAACTTTCTGTACGACATCACACTGTTTATAGTAATACACAGATAATGTCTTAGCTCTTGGTGAGGCTTGATAAAATGTCACAGATTTCCTCACAGATCCGTCATCATCTTCGTCATCCATGTCTGCACTTCTTCTTGCTTCTTCACCCTCGTCTAGACGTGCTGACTTTCCATCGTCCTCTGGTACTATTTCAACACTTTGCCAACTTGACAAAAGTCTCTCTAATTTTTCTTGCACCTCTGGAGGGAAGAATTCTGGTGAGTAAAAATGTTCAGCTAATATATCAGCAGTGTCTTCAGTTGATGGAAGCTCAAGGATGAGTGATAAGATGACCTTACGAATGCAATCTTCATCAGCTAAATATTGGTTGAATGCCAACATATGAACAGCCCATTTCAGTATTTTAAAACATTCCTGCACATACTCTTGACCCAGCGTGGATTCAGGACTTTCCTGAAAATGAATAAAAGGGATTTTATTTTTCACATTATAATTTCTAAAGATACTTTCTATTCAGGTAAATTTTGTTCAATGTATGTGATGTAAGCTTCTTGCTAGGTTACATCACTTTTTAAAAGCAAATAATTGTATTCTTAACTGCAAAAGCTGAGGAGGCATTTAATGGATAAAGGTGGGGGAACATTTGTACTTGAGTATATTGTAAGTTAAAGGAAAGTAATTTTTACATTATTTGAGTATGTATCATACTCAGTGTTTTTGTTCCACTTTAAGGGGAATAGTGGTAGGGCCCATAGATAGGGGAAAATTGCATCACGTTTTTTTTTTACTCTTAAAGAGGAATTTAAGAAATAGCTTTCTGGGGAAGAAAATGGGGTCAAATTTCAGCCCCAATTGGCCCTAAAAATCACTGATATTCATTTAATTCATTGAAATAAATACAAAAAAGAAGAGAGAGGAATCAATGTCAACACCGGGTCAAGTTTTAACTGTATTTATTATTCTACTAGTTTTGGTTGAACAACAACCTTCATCATTGAACATTCATTGAAATAAATTAAAAATTAAATTTATTTAGTAGTATTATCTGGTAGAGAAGTAGCAAGAACTATAATTTTACCTGGCCATCCTTGGTATCATTCACCAGTTGTTTGCCTCTCTTCCTTAGATGTAAAGACATTTCGTCACGTACATGTAACATCCATAATATTGTGCAAAAATCTCGGAAACTTGACATGACTTTAAGGACATTTGGATTGTCTCTGAAGTCTACTATATCTGATCGTAGAATCTTATACTGTTGGAGAATTTCTGGTAACTCAAGGCAAGGTCCTTCTGTTGTTGCCTGTAAACAAAACAAAAATAAATCTTAAAGTCATGTTCCTATATTTTAAGTTTCACTACAGCAACAGTGTTCTATTCTTCAATGAAAATTGTTAACTTATAAAATATGTAAATTTTGATAGCATCACAAATTATTACATTTTTCAGGAGATCACTGGAATATATATATATATATATATATATACATGTATATAAAGGTCTGCCTAATAATGTATATCATTGTGATAAAAGCTATGGTCAACCAATATACATGTTTATTTCATGCTTTCCAGTGTTTTATTGTAATATATCAGATGATTATATTCTGATAAACCACTAGTGAAATTTATAAAATATAATTTTCACTGTAGCCGGACTATATCAGAATGCGGATGAAAAGAAAATCATAACTAAATGGAATAACAGGCAGAAATAAATGCAGACATACGTAAATTGTGCTTCTTTAGGAAAAGAAAGTCGATGTCACCATACATTGTGTTAAAAATGTAACAAAATTAGAAAATTTAACAGAACTATATTTCAAAATTGATGATGTGACGTCATGATGTGATGACATCACGAAGGAGAATGCGCGACGTTACGCGGCAAAATCAGTAAAAAATACTCAAAATCACTTAAAAAAGCATTAATAAAAAGAAAATTTATTTGTTTTACATATAAGATTGAAATATGTTTCATTCATGAACACCAGCTATTATATTTTCACTCGTGGCTTCGCCACTTGTGAAAATATTGCATCTGGTGTTCACTCAGTGAAAGTATATTTCAATCTTACATGCAAAACAAACAAATATCCCCTTTATATGAAACAGATTATGGAATCAATATATATATTTCATAATTTTAATATTCAAATATATTTTCACTTTAGACAAACTAAAAAGATGAAAAGCATGTATCAAAACTCCCATTACCTTAAATTGTGAAGCTTTTTCTTGCATTTTAAACAGATCTTGTATGTACCACCTTGCTGTTGGCAGTGTGAGGTGGGCAGAGTTAAAGGCTACCAATAAAAGTTGTATAATAGAAGAGATCTCCAGTCTCAGTTCTTTCTCATACTGCACTGTGGGGTCATCTCTGCCCTAAAAATAGAACAATATCATTCTATAAATATTTTAAATATTTCATAACGAAACCAATCAATTTCAGGTATTATTGATAAGACAAAAATAAATATATATTATTAATTCATGTATGCCACGATAAAAATACACACAAGTTGCATTCCAAAGAATCACTGCCAATACAGTCATGCCTTATTAACTTCAAGGTAGAGTTATGATAGTAATGCAATGAACTCTTATCATATTAAACATAACATGCAATGTTTATTTTTCTAGAAGTGATTTTTCTTATTCAATCCTATTTGTTTGGAAATAATGAGTCTTTCATGTTTAATAAACAAACATTGCATTATTCTTCATAAATATTTGTAAATGAAGAACACTGGGACAGTCTTTTATAATAAAGGTTATTTTTATATTATACTATAAACATTTTTTATTATCTATTAATGGTCAATCACCATCATAACAGCCAATCTTTTAAAATATATACCTACTTTAACTGAACAGGGAAAAAATGAGCATAATTTCACTTTTGATTTTATAAATGTTTTATAAATGCTAACATTTAATGATTTTACAATCTGACAAAAGTTAATATCTCATGTTATGTCTTAAAAGCAGCTTAATTGAGGATATTAATCAGATTTCATTTTAAAATTTGGAAACTTAGGCTTTTTTACATGGTGATTGAAACACAAGATCAATTTAAAGTAACTGTATCACTTGTGATATAATATATCTTTTAATTAAGAGATACAAATGACTTTTAAACAATATCTGAAGAATCTGATATAATATTTTACCATTTCTTCCTCGCCAGCCTGGGGGCAATATAGTGGCGGAGCCGGGAGGTAGAATTCTTCTGGTACCAGGACTGGCAAGCTGGATACAACATTTTTAAGCTTGTCTGTGAGATTTGCCAGGAACCAGGGAGCAAGTTCAACATCTGACACAATACCTGCAGTCATCATATCACCAACTGTATGAGTCAGCTGACCTATATTGGTCTCCTGGTTGATCGGAATGAAGTCTGAAATAAACAAGAAGTTTTAATATTAATACACTTACAATACAAGTATGAATGTCTTTGATTAATCAAGTCTGAAATCAATGAAAAAGAAGTTACTCAGATATTAGGAATGTATTGTTCCATTCAAAAAAAGTGCATTACCCACCCTTTCAGTTAGTCTATATATTATTATTATTATGATTCAAAATATAAAAGAATCAAACCTTGAAATGAAGAACCAGAAGTAAAATCTGACAAAATCAATAATACCGCAATATGGCATCCACTAACTCATATACACCAAAATACAAACTCTTCAAATGGCATGTAAGTAAACAGCATTAAGCATTAAGACAGTACCTCAACTGGCAGAATTGTTTTGTTTTTATCTTTAGCTTTAGCTGTTACTTTACCATCATTCAAAAGAGCCTGAAAATTTTTGTTTTAATTATACACGATTATAGAAAATTCTGTTATGCATTGCATAGATCCCTGACCTGTCTAATTCAAGTTATCAGAATAGTGGATACAATAAAAATTTCACCACCACATATTTGTTAACAAAAGAGCACATGCCAATGTTTGTGGTTTAATCTATGTTATTCAAATGAAAGGTCAGAGTAGGGATCTATCAATTCCTCATTCATTTAACTAACTAATCATAACAAAGCCTACTATACTTCTAAAGCATTCAGGTTGAATACAAAAACTTGGGAATAAAGACTTACATCTGCTGCATTTTTTGTTGGCCCCAGCTGGTGCACTATCAGCTTTGTTAGATTTTATAAGAACTTCTAGTTTTTCTTGTAGAATAGCTTGTGGTGTCAAACTCTCAGGTAACTGTAAGGGCTTCTTGGGCCTGCAAAAAATATTGACAAATATTTCTACATTTGTATTTCATACTTATCTTTCTAAATTTGAATACAATTTGTTCAGTATTAAATTGCATCAGTCCATTATACATGTATTTGGTATCTTGATATCAAAGATACTGAAGATAAATGATCCAAAATTAAAATATCTAGTCAGCTGCATGGAAATGAAAACTGTCTGACTTTAAATGTTTTGGTATATGTGCAATATCACTTGATTAAAACGTAACCTATCAAACCAATTTTCTGTATTTATTTTTTCTCTATAGATACAAAAGTAATATTTATTAAGTTTGTAATTATCAATACAGTCTTGATTGAAATCATCACAACAGAAAGCTTCAGAAAAACTTATATTAATTATCTAATATCTTAATCAGATTAAGATCTCACAATTAAATATGAGGAATAACACAGTCACAAATCATTGCAAAAGTTTCCTGAGTCTCACAGGGAGTCCACAGCTAACTTTTAAAAATGAATTGAACACACTAACAAATGTAATAAGAAACTGAAATAACTTACTTCTGATATAGATGTGGAGCTATTTCTCTATGGTTACTATGGGCAACAGAAAGTAGATAGGCAGTTTTCCAGTCTCCCATCTTATGAGCAAACCATGCTGTCTCACAAACTAGACCACTCATCAACAAATACTCGACAGTTCTCTCTGTAGTCCAGATCCCGCTTAAACCATCACGTGTTATAACATTTGTTATATCCTCATGATACTTGGGAATAATCCTTGTTTCTGAAACACGTTCAGCATTCTGTTATTGTGTAACAAATGTATCAGTATACTAAATGTTTAACATATGAGCCGCGTCATGACAAAACCAACATAGTGTGTTTGCGACCAGCATGGATCCAGACCAGCCTGCGCATCCACGCAGTCTGATCAGGATCCATGCTGTTCGCTATCAGTTTCTCTACTTGTAATAGGGTTGGTAAGCGAACAGCATGGATCCTGATCAGACTGCGCGGATGCGCAGGCTGGTCTGGATCCATGCTGGTCGCAAATGCACTATGTTGGTTTTGTCGTGGCGCGGCTCATTTATTTGCAGTTGTTATTAACTCTTGATATTAGATTTATTAGCATTCCAGTTTGCAAAAAGCATCTTAATATAGATCCTAAAGTTATTAGAAGAATAATAAATATTTACTCTAAAAACAAAATGAGGTATCATTCTAGGAATAGAAAGTAAGAAATCTCCTTAACAGCAACTTTTTACTTTTTTACCATATAAATTTCAGTGTGACAAAAAGCATTGAAAAACATGTAATTTGAACTTCACTTCGTAAGAAAGCTTTATTTTCTTATATTTCTGTTAGATATTGAATAAAAGATTTAAATACTTAATATATAAAAAAATTCCACTGTATAATGAACCAATAATTACCTTACAAACACTTAAAATATGGTCAAAATGAGATAATTTTGCTGTTTGAGTTGTAACAAATGCCAAAATTTGATAACACCTGATAATGTATAATAAAAAAACAAGATAACTAACTTGTTGGTACAGAAGTCATATGTACTGTAGGTAAAGCTTGAGCACTGTGGGGTGGGTAGATATACATGGTCTGGTTACTAAAATATGCCGCCATAAACCGGGCAATAGTCTGTACTGTCTGACGTATAGACTTGTTCTTGATGCAGGGTACCAGCTCTTCCTCCTCAGAATCCTATATATATAATTATAGAAATATCTATACAATGATGAGCTATACCTAGACATAACATGCTTGGTATTTTGATCAATATTTAATAATTAATTGCATGTGAAGTCATTTTTTTCATATTTTTGTAATTACTCCTTAAGAGCAAGAACAAAGGATGACCACATAAAAAACTTGCTTGGCTACTGTATGCCAGTGTGTCTTTTAAGAAATTGACTTGCACAGATCATTTCATGAATTATCTATAAATAATTTCTACATCATTTATTCCTATTTGAATTGAAAATTACTGCCACTCACCTGTGACCTATGAGTGACAAGGGTCATCAAAGGAGGTCGTGTACCGTCATCATAAGCTGGTAGTTCCTGGGAATTCATGGCCGTGTCAATACTTGCTTGTAATATCAGAGTGTCTACAAACTCAACTGTCTGAGCAAGATCATCTTTCAGTAGATATGTAAACAACACTGAGTGTAACATCCTGGCGGTTTTAGGACTGTCTTTCTTCACACCTTCATAAATATTCAAGTAAGTTTTATAATTCAGTAACCAGTCAATATTGTGAAGTGTAAAGCAAATAATAAAGAGTCTTGAACAGAAGGAAATTTTTATTGCTATTCACTGAGTGAAAATGCATTCATTGATGTCTATATTTGCAATCCTAGATCTAATAAAATGACAAAATACTAAAAGGCATTAAAAACCACTTATAATAAGATTTGTAAGGGCTAAAATCAATACAATTATACTTTGTACTCAAAAAACTTTAAAAGATAGCAAGATTTGGTCCTAATTTATTGGCGAATATATCTTAACAAGCAAATTCGATGAATTTATATCCCACGCCGAATACTGGTTATTATTAACACAACAACTGAAGACATGGCTTGATTTCTATATTAATCATGGCATAAACAGTAATATTCTTTGAACTTGATAAATATTCAGGGCAATAACAGAGCCATAACTTTGTGTTAAATAGTAATATCTGGAAATGCCAATGAGATGTATGCATACTACATAACTAACTAGAACTATCGCTGAATGCGATTCATACCCCCACCAATGTCCTTGACAGAAGACGACTTGGAAAGGTGGTTAAGGGAATAACTTAAGTGGCACAAATACATAAAAAGAAATTAGCTCTGGTGAAAAAAAGACTAATTGTACAGGTAATAGTAAAAATATCTATTATCAAATCATGTTCGAAACAGTTACAAATAACCTTTCATTTTCCCAATATACTAAACTTTTTATAAGTCAATTTTTGACCTTCAAGTGTGGCCTTGACCTTAAGCTGGCACAAGGGTAAGATGGGTTCTGCACATCGCCCAATTGGAGTGAACATTTGAGAAAAGTTTGAAGAAAATCCTTCCATTAGTATAGAATTTATAGAGGGGACACAACATATTGTCTAGTATTGATTGTATGTAAATTTAAAGACTTAAAAAGGGGCATAACTTTGTCAAAATGCAATACAGAGTTATGAAACTTGACCTACATATCGTAATTGTGACACCTCATATATCTTTCAAGTTTCAAGCAAATAACTGTGCTAGTTTCAGAAATATTCAAGAACATGTTAAAATCTAAGAACATTTTCTAAGTCAATTTTTGACCTTCAAGTGTGACCTTGACCTTTAGCCTGCACAAAGGTGACATGGATTCTGCACATAACCTTGTTTTGGTGAACATTTCAGTAAAGTTTGAAGAAAATTCTTCCATTAGTATAGGATTTATAGAGCGGACACGACATATTGTCTAATATGTGATTGTATGTAAATTTGAAGAATAAAAAGGGGCATAACTTTGTTAAAATGCAATACAGAGCTATGAAACTTGACCAGCATATCTTAATTGTGACACTTCATATATATTATAAGTTTCAAGCAAATACCTTTCCTAGATTCAGAAATATTCAGATTTATGTTAAAATTTAAGAACATTTTCTAAGTCAATTTTTGACCTTCAAGTGTGACCTTGACCTTAAGCCGGCAAAAGAGTGACATGGGTTCTGCACATAAGCTTGTTGAGGTGAACATTTGAGCCAAGTTTGAAGAAAATCTTTCAATAAGTGTAGGACTTACAGAGCGGACACGACATACTGTGTAATATTTGATTGTTTGATATTTGACCTTCAATTGTGACCTTGACCTTGAGCTGACACATGGGCAACATGGGTTCTGCACATCCTCTTGTTGAAATGAACATTTGAGCCAAGTTTGAAGAAAATCTTTCAATTAGTGTAGGACTTACAGAGCGGACACGACATATTGTGTAATATTTGATTGTTTGATATTTGACCTTCAATTGTGACCTTGACCTTAAAATGACACATGGGCAACATGGGTTCTGCACATCCCCTTGTTGAGGTGAACATTTAAGCCAAGTTTGAAGAAAATCTTTCAATTATTGTAGGACCTACAGAGCGGACACGACATACTGTCTAATATATGATTTTGTTTGATATTTGACCTTCAATTGTGACCTTGACCTTGAGCTGACACATGGGCAACATGGGTTCTGCACATCCCCTTGCTGAGGTGAACATTTGAGCCAAGTTTGAAGAAAATCCTTCAAGTGGTATAGGAGTTATAGAGCGGACACGAAAATGGAGACGGACGGACCGACCGACTGACCGACGCGACAAAGCGAATCCATTATAGCCCCCCAACATTTTGTGGTGGGGGTATAATAAAGGGCCATAAATCTAAGCTATAAGTATCTGACCGGAACAAGGTGACTATATGCACATCTCCTCTTAGTATCCCATAAAGTTTCATTGAATTCCAGCCAGTAGTTACAGAGAAGTAGCATGGAAACAATTATTGCTCTGGTTGTATACTGCCTAAGTTATCAAGGGTCATAACTCTAAGTTAAAATGTCTGACCCGAACAAGTCGACAATATGCGCATCTCCTCTTGGTATTGAAGGTTCCAATAAAGTTTCATTGAATTCCAGCCAATAGTTGCAGAAAAGTAGTGAGGAAACAAATATTTTTCTATATGGATACTGCATAACTAATCAAGGACCATAACTCTGAGTTAAAGTGTCTGACCCCAACAAGGCAATGATATGCGCATCTTCTCTTGGTATTGAAGATTCCCATTAAGTTTCATTGAATTCCAGCCAGTAGTTGCAGAGAAGTAGCGCGAAAAGGATTTTTACTCTATATGCATACTGCATAACTAATCAAGGGCCATAACTCTGTGTTTAAGTGTCTGACCGGAACAAGCCGACGACATGCGCATCTCCTCTTGGTATTGAAGGTTCCCATAAAGTTTCATTGAATTCCAGCCAGTAGTTGCAGACAAGTAGTGCGTAAACGATTTTTACTCTATATGCATACTACATAACTAATCAAGGGCCATAACTCTGAGTTAAAGGGTCTGACCGGAACAAGCTGACGATATGCCCATCTCCATTTGATATTGATGATTCCCATAAAGTTTCGTTGAATTCCAGCCAGTAGTTGCAGAGAACTACCCCTGAAACGAATTCGGACAGACGGATGGATGGACGGACGGACGGACGAAAGTTCTAACAGGAGAGTAATTATGTGGCTACTCTATTGTTCTCTCTATTGTTCTTTTTAGCCACACAAAAGAAAAAAGCCACATAAAAGCATTACGGAATGAATGACATCAAAGAGAAAGAACAGTTATCTATTGTCCCTCTAGCCACATAATTACTGTCCTGTGAGTGCGGACGGACGGAAGGGCGGATGGACTGAGGGACAACGCCAAAACTATATCCCCCTCCAGATTCCATCGGCGGGGGATAATAAATTATCTATATATATAACACTCAGAATGACCTACCAGCAACCATTTTGAGCTGATCTTTCCAAGCCTCGACAGCCAGTGTATGCTCCCCATCTACACTCAACTTATCACCTGCAAGAAGTTCCAAAAATCTTCACTATATACATGTTACAAAAGAAATCCTATACAACAGTCAGGAAATTGAGGCATCATTTGAAAATCCAGTAGAATACAATGAATTTATGCTATACAAAAGTGGTAAGGTAAATGGTCAAAGTAACTTTTTGAAGTTAAGATTTTGTGTAAAACAAAATACATCCCCATGTGTTAGTATCAATAATCTAAGGGTCTAATTTTAAATAAAGCAGCAACAAGAAGCAATCAAAAGTGCAAAACCTTCTTGATAGCAGCATGGCTGAGTGGTGAACACATTGAACTACTAATCTAAGGATTGCTGGGTTCAATTCCCATAAATGACAAACTGTTGTTTCCATGTGCAAGAAAATTTACACTCATTGCTTAGTACTGACTGGTTCCAGTTTCAGATTTGATACTCTTTCAATAAGCTTATTGCTTTCAACACAATCAAACTAAAGCAAATTCATATAAACTAAAGCTTAAGTGTAAATAGGCCTTTACCATTAAAACATAACTTGCAGTCTTTGTATAAAACAAACACTTGATAAAAGTGAAGTAAATAACTGAAAATAAAAGTGGTAATCTCTGAGAGACTAACATTTTGTCAAAGAATTACAAAAGGATTACTCATATAATAGCCATAAAAATTACTTTGGAAAATGAAATCTTAAGATTATGCAATGAGATGACAATAAATAACGAATTTGATAATCATTTACAGTAGTCCAGTATTCCATCCCTCAATATTCAGTATAAATTCAGTACATTCATCACTTTCCATCTCTTATATTGAGAGTGAAACACATAGAGGTATAATGATATGATTTCTGTTGAGTAATTCTGTCTATGAGTAATTGTCATATGACACTTACATTAATGCTGACAATGAAAAAATAAATTGAATTCTCATGAAACAATGCAAGGCTAAATGCAACATATACACTGACATGAAATCACCCCATCACCAGCTTAATGTCAACAGCAAACAGTGCAAAGCTTACTAGCATAGACCCTTTTCTTTTCCCTCCTTTTCTTTTTCCATTCTAGCTTATCACTATCAGTTTTTGATGACACTTCAAAATCTTTTGTATCATGAAGGTCAAAGCCTTCTGACTTGGGCATATCTTGCTCAATATCTACTGTAGTTTTATCATGCATTGTGGAATAACCAGGCTCAGTAATATCTAACAGAACAACTGGCATGGATGATGACCCAGTGTTGGAACTACTTTCTTTAGGGGAAAGAGAAACTGACCCAACTTTCAGTTTTGATATTACTCCATTTATCATTGATGACCCAGATGACCGGTTCCCACTAGATGATGTAGACAAGGAACCAACTTGAACAGAAGAGTCATTTGCATGAGCTTTGTTAACTTTTGCCATGGCTGATTTTAGTTTTGTTATTATCTTAAATTTTGATCTTGCTAAATGTGTGAAACCATTTCCTGTTCCTGATTCAAAACTAGATAAAGAGGAGAATTCTGTTACTTTTGGAGATATTTTATTGCCATCGATGCTTGGAGAGAGATTTCCTTGGTTTGAACTGGTGTTCTCTTTTTGGGAGGAAGAGTATGACCCTACTTCTACTGAAGAGTTGTTACCAATATGATCAACATGATTCATCTTTAGAGTGGACGATGAATTCTGACTTTCATTCCCAGAACTCTTCCAAGTGAAGGTAATGTTTGGACTACCTTTCACATTTTGAGAAGAGTTGTTATTATTTGAAACAGTAGACATATTGGGAGTTGGACTACTTGTGGTTTTGGGATCAAAGCTGGTAGTACTATCATTAGCATATAAGAAACTATCAGAACTGGACAACAACTCAAATGGGAAAGCATGCCTCAACCATACTGAAAGGAAATTATGTGAATTGAACAAGAATTAAGTATTGAGAAAACACATTCACACATTTAAAACAGAAAACTCTTTTATATGCAAAATTAATACAGTAATTAACATTGGCTCCTCAAAATTAGCTATTTGATATTGAATGCCTATAAAATAATCGTAGGAAGGTCCAATATAATAATCAAACAGTATAAATATTGATATTTTTTTTAAAAATTGAAGGAATAAGTCAGATTATAACAACTAACCTGCTGACACCTTGGCAGAAGCAGATCTTGGAGTTATCTGTGCGTCTGATTCTTGAAGTACCTGTTGTATGGCATGAATCAATTTATCTGTGTTATTAAGCTCTTGATTGAGGTCACCAGATTGTCTGACCTTTGACTGGTACTCAACTGTATGATGATACAGCATCTTCCATGTGGCTGCAAGTCTGCAAATATATAAGACAATTTTTATATACTGAAATAACACATAAATCAGTCACCTTGCAAAAGTATTCAAATATGTCTGACAAATTACTGTCGCTTGTAATTAGATGTAGAAAAGGAATCTGCTATTGAAAAAGGCCTTAACAAATGTAAAAAGACTATTCTGAAATCAGTACCTCTTTCCTGGTAACTGTCCCCGACTATCCAAATTAACTCCTCTTGCACCACTACTACTTCCTGCAGATTGCATTGCCATTTTCACCATTACAGCTGGCTCAAATGTATGAGGTGAACCATCACTTCTTGGAGTGCCAGTCTGACTCTGTGATTGTACCCAGACATATACACGGTTAAGACTGGTTTCAGCATGTTTCAATAGACTGTAACACCCATAAAGAGTTTTCAACCTGGGGTCAGTCTTAAGAAGTTCTTTACTTGATAACATCAGAGTGATTGTTTTGTGAACCAGTCTAAGGGCTGCCGTAATAAGATGCTGATTGAATGTATCAAATCTAAGCAGCTGTAAGATATTTCTGTAGGCTACTATAATGTTATACACTCTTGGATTTTGTATCGCTGACCCTTGTCTAGGAGTAAGGCTTGGAATGATAGCTTCAACTGCCGGGCAATCAAGTACAACCTCAAAAATCTTTGAAAAATTATGGACTGTCTTTTTAGCAATGTTATCAACTTCAGAGGTCCATACATCTGAGTATGATGAGGCAAGTTTCCACACTAACGTCAAAGCTGACATTGACTCCTCTAAGTATTTCAGGAGGGCATCAGATCCATCTAACCCGGAAAATGTCAAGTTAGGGTCAATTGAGATCATTTCTGGCTCTCCAAATACTATTTTTCCAGCGTCCATATTTCCTATTGCTCCAAACTGATCAAAGCCAAACTTGTTGGTTGTGTCTATGATACTGGTATTGCTTTCATGAGTAGCATTCAAAGAGACCTCTGCCAATTCAAACTGATATGCTCCCCTCTGTTTCTTGTTGTCTAATAGTGATTGTTTGGAGCCTTTTTGACCTGAGCAGTTAGCAAATGATTAATAAAGTACAAATGTAAATCAAAATTAAATCTCAATAAAATCTATTTTAATCTATTTAGACAAATAATGTAATAAAGAACATTGTAAACTTAGCTCAATACGTATATATAAAATACATATACTGCTTCTGTAATAAAGTAGACTGAAGTGAAATGTTGACTACTGTTGATAAACATTTTAAATCTACATAACACTTTGTAATAATAACATTTAAAGTTTCCAAAGTTACAAACTTAAAAAACAAAACTTTTGATTTATACACCTTCTTATATCAAAAGACAGATATTTTACCTTTGGACAGTTTGTATGCATCTGCTACGGTCATGTCCAGATCTTCCTGTTGATACAATTTCTTCAAATATCTGGCAGAGTCTAAAACCAAATCTCTCATCACAGAAACTGATGTCATCTCTACAGGAAGTTGAGCTACTGTTACCAGGAAACCATCAGAGAAGAGAACTATAGGTAATGTTGGATGAGTGGCCAATGAAAAGTGTTGTTGCATAGGATCTTTCTCCATAGCTGAAGGCTCAAGACTTCCTTGATTATTACTGTAAAATATAAACATAGTGAAACTTGACAACTTAAACAACTGTTGCAGGGTCATTAGTAAAAACTTTGAGGAAATTACAATTCAACAAATGAAAAACAACTATTGTACTTTCATTAAAATCAGCATACACCTGGTATGCAGCTTTAAAGGTCAGAATAAAAAACAAATAACAACATTTCTGTTTTTTTAACTTGAAAAAACAGACCTGACAAATATAGCTGGATGAAGTGGGAGGAAATAAGCTGGTCCCATATTCACTGAACAACCTTGTGTTTGTATAGCAACAGGGTCTCCAAGACGGGGAATTAGGCACACACTGCCATTCTTCAGTATACAAGCCAGAAACAAATTGTCTGATGTCCAGGCTATATCTGCTACCCAATAATCTCTGTAAAATATGAAACAAAACAAAAATTGCTAAAACAATACTCTTTCAACATGCAATCTAAACATAGCATCAATCCTTTCAAATTTCATACAAATAATTCATTTAAAAATATTGAAGAAAAATATTACTTTTGCTAACAATTCAAAGCATTCTGCAAAAAGATATAACAAGAGTTGCAAGGGGCATAATTTGTCAAAATCCATGACAGAGTTATGTCATCTTGCCTGGAAGTGGGAATAATGGTACAAGTATACACAGATTTAAAGCAATTTTTCAAAGGGTACAGGAAATAAAAGGGGTGGTAGGAAATGCTTTACCAAAAGTGTGGAGAGTAGGATAGCTCTACCTATAACATAAATATAATAGTCAAGCAAAACAAATATAAACAGTTGTCAAATTGTATTGATCTTGTTAAAGATATGATCTTGATTTCCTTATACATAAATAATATCGAAACACACATTACCTCCCAGATTTACCAATATCCCTAACACCACAATTTCTCATTCCACCAACAAGTACTGTATCAGTCAGTGGTGACACAAATAACATGGTTGTCCGTGTAGGGAACCTCTGATTGGCTGCCACAGCTAGCACCTGACCACTCTTATTGTAGCTACAGATGTAAGCTCCTTGTGTGAACACTGGCTCAAAGTCTTGGTGCATCTGTTGGAAAGGATACTCCAGTAAACTCCATTCTGCGCTGAACAGTGGCAAACTAAAATACAACAACAAAACTGTTCTGTAAAGCTGAAAACAATTACAAAGTTTATATTTTTAAATATCAGTTTTTAAAAAAAACTTTTTCAAGTATTACCAGCTTTTGGTAAATGTACATGATGATGATGAGCATGATTCCAATAAAACAAATGTATCTACATGTATTTATTAACCTTTACCTTGCTAAATATATCTCAAATGTACTTGTCCATCTTTCAATCGAGACAAAACCATTTATCATTTTTAGTGAAAATTTGAAAACACATACTGACTGAATATTAAACATTACAGACCTTGGATCAGATGGCACGGATAAATTCAGTTGCCACTAGCAGGCTTATGGTTAATTTCATTTTAGCTTTGTATCAAATATATTTCTTGGCTAATGATTTAAACAAGAACATTATTTTCAGGATTTCTATTTTGTATGGAATGGCTAATAACTAGTGCTGAAGACTAAATAATTTACTTGAAATTCCACTTGCTGGACAAACCAGTAATAACACTACATATAAAAGAAACATGGCTGTGAATATAGTAGAGTTATAACAAATGATATGTTGGTTGAATGGCAGACAACTGCATTATAAAGATAGTAGTTGGAAATTTTTATATGGCATTTAGAATTAAAGCAGAAATACACGTTTTACATAGAAATTTTATTTACAAAACCTTTTTTCCCAAAAGGGGCAAAAACAGGATTTTGGGAATTTGAGAATCATGTTGCAACATTTAAAACAAGTCTCATTTTTAAAAACACTTTTGGAAACTGCAACATGCCCAAAAAATTCTCCCCAAAAAACCCAAAAAGGCAAGAAAAAACTAGAAAAGCATTTTATATTAATCAACAGAAAATCAAACAAAAACATTAAATGACCAAAATTCCAAAATCATTTACCATAAGATAAAAATTAAACCTTAAAGTATAGAAAATCTTATTCAAAATTTAAAATAAACTCTTCTAACTATTTTCAAAAATTTAAAAATCTACATGTATACTACATGTATAAAACAAAGAAGAAATTCTCATGAAGATGAACTACCAGTATGTAGTTAATAGACTAACTCCGGAATAAAGAATATTTTGTTCTTTCCCAGCTAATCCTAGGGTACAATTTTTTTTTTCACACTTACAGCTTTGAGTATAATTGCAAGAGATTGACTAATCTATTGTGACCAGTTGTGCACTGTGAAGCTATAATGGTAAAAGTTTGTCCTGGATGGGGGATTAGCTTGGAAAAACCCACATTTGCTGAGTTCAGGATAACATTTATTGTGTCAGTACAAAAGAAGGTTGCTTACAGTATTCTCATAGAAAACACTAGCCATGCTGCACTCCCTTGATGTCAAGGGTGGTAATTCCATTCCCTCAGGCACCGCAATTCTGTGCCAAGATCCTTTAAGAGCAGGGTCTCCCTTGTCCTTGAGAATGCATTCTCCCTTTTCTTTTACCCATAGCAAAAATGAACTGTTCCCAATAGCAACAAAGACATAAGAACAGTCATCCGAGGCATCAATATGGCATTGCTCTGAATAAAAATAAATTAATTCAAAATTAAAATAATAGAAATGTGACCATCTACAATATGTTATAATACACTATAATTCTTTATAATCTTTGGAATATGTTAGCTATTTTAAAAATTAATTAAAAAAATATGTTTTTATCTTTTAAAGGTAATTTTCTAGTATAAAATCTGGAATAAGACCCTTTTAATCATATTATGAAAATATTTGACAAAAAATTAATCTTGTTTAAATAATATTTAGCCTGATTGTGAAAAACACTTTAAGCTTGTTTGATTCACCTTAGAGTCCATTGTCAAATTATGTAAACCAACAAATACTGTTATTATAATAAAGAAACACTGTCTGACCCCAGTAAGTCTTGAACCCACAATCCTGGGTTGAGAGATAAACACTTTTACCACTAGGCCACAGCTAACATTAAAATGAAAATGGCTCTTATTTGACCAAAGATTTTATTTTAGTTAAATTTGTGATACATATAATATCACTTTGTGCACTAGTGCATAAATAAGCTGACATGAAATGAGCTACCTGTCTGATATGTATCTGTTATAGTCCCTAATCCTTCAATAAATTTCAATATATCTTTGTCTTTGTGCCACACAAATATCTCCCCATTTTGTAAAACACCCAACAAATGGCGACCTGTAAATCAAAAACATAATCATATGATCTTAAAAATATCAAATAATGTTTGTAGGTACATCAAAACATTATTCAAATAACTAGTAATAAATTAATTATCCTGGGCTTCCAAACAGTTTAAATCATTCTCAACATTTTTATATAAGTTTTGTAATACAATGCTAATTATAACCGACACAAGAAAATAAAAACACAATTCTTACCCATTTCTTACTAGAAAACATCAGAAGAATATTATAAGAAAAATGTATGTAAGAGTTATTACCATTTCCTGTGCTACCAAAACATTTCACTTGCTCTACAAGAGGTGATACTTTGGTTAACTTCTTTTTCGTCTTACCAGATGGTACATAAAAAATAAGAAAGAAATACTGAAATCCTTTACCAGTACTTCTAAAAGTAAACAAGCTTTTCCTGTTTTCTATAAATTAGCAAAAAATATTATTATAATTACAGGGTTAAATTTTTCCATTTTGGGTTTAAATTTCCCGTAAAGGGAAAAACAAAACACAGACAACCCACCACCCCTCACCAAATTGTTAAAAATAAAGGGTATATATTCAAGGGAAGTTTAAAAAATTTTCCTTAAAATGACATGCAATTATAAAGCTTTAAATCAAAAGAAACTCATTTTGCTGAGTTAAAAAACATTTTATCAACTACATTAAATTTAAATTTAGGTTTGGGAAAAAAAAAAATTTAAGGGCTGAGGGTTTTATTAACAAATACCCACAGAAAATAAATCGCCCTCCAAATATCTTTTAATCATTTTCCGAAATTGGGAAATTTTAAAAATTTACTCACTCAGTTAGTGGGTTTTTACAAAATTTTCAAAAAAATGAAAAATTTTGTCCCCTGAGTATACCCCAAAAAACCCTACAAAATTTTTACCTCTCCAATCCAAATAATTTGTGGCCATGGTTTTTTTTTCCTTTTTTTAAAAGTTTTATGCCCAAGGGAAATTTAACTCACCCTTTATTTCTTAAAACTTCCCCAAAAATATTTTTCCCCAAATTCCCAAATGTGAATCTGCAATTATTAGAAATGAAAGCAATAAAATTGATATATATCCTACTCTATCCTTGCAAGGGGTTTTGACATTACTGAATTAAAAATATGGAATTCCAATTTGACCTTAAAAATAATAACTACTATTCATAGCATTCTTAGTTATTAGCTAATAGATGCGTTCATAAATGTAAACATATAAGACACTTTTCAAAGCTTATTTTTATTAGCTATATATGCATTTTATCATTATATTGATTTGACCTGTAAGAATACTTCTGTTTTTAAATATGTTGAAAAAATGCCATAATACTTAGTTACAAATAGCCATCTTCATAAACATTGTGCATGTTTTTTTGTGGTGCAGGTTTTTGACAAAAAATATTGGCCAAAATTACTTCAAATGACAATGAAAAAATTTGCTACACATAAGATTTTAAGATATATATTGTATACATTGTATAATGTTAACAGGTTGCACTGCAAAAATAAATATTACAAAATAATTTGATGTTTTTTTTATAGAAATTTAATTGTGACATTATATTTCAGTTAACTATTTCAAAACTACAAACATGTACATTAAAATGAGTTATAGATAAATACTGTTCAATGACTTTTCCATAAGTTACATTTCTACTATTTAAGGCAAGAAAAAATATATAATTGTTGTATTTTTTGTATGATATTAAATAAGCTATTGATGCTGCCTCATAAAAATGTACTAGTTCTCTCTAAAATTAAACATAAAATTTTAAAACTTGGGTTATGTAGAGTTGGTAAATTGATCAGTTTGTAAACTATTTCAATTGATGTTATTCAACTGCAACCAAACATTATTTTTTCTCGACGTCTTGAGATGACAAAAATATATATTCGTACTTTCTTTACTGTAGCCAACAAGGCAATTAATCTCTAAAAAGTAAACATACAAAGACAATTGCAGTTTCTTGGTTAAAATCCTCGCTTAAAGTCATAAAATAACACATGCATTTTCGACTTCCATATAATTTTGAAAAGTGTGGGCCCGTACGGCTAGCCACTTCCTTCAATTAATTACGGTTACCCAATTTTATGTGTTATAAGATATCTTTGTTTTTCATATAGATATGGAAATGTTGTGACATATTGTATTCACAGATTACTTTTGTAAAGTACATTTCATTTTGGATATCAAACCAGTATTTTGAAGAAAAATAAATTGGGTACGTTAAATTCTGGTACGAAACAGAAAAAGTAAATTTGTATCCGAGTGTTTTAATTTCTGCGGTGGAAAGCAACCTGCATATAAAATAACACCAACTCAGACCATCAATACAAAGGTTTTACCTCATGAAAATATTTTAATTTTATCTGTTCCATACATTTTTTCATTAGTTTAAATATCAATCTTCCACTTTGACAAGTTGTTTCCTGTCATGTCTAGCCGCCATATTTGTTTACAACCTGGTTCCCCTTCACGAGAGAAAGAACTAGGAGGGTACCAGATACTGTTTCAGCTCTATGTTTTGATCACAGACGCTTGGGGTTATGTGCGTGGCTCCCCTTCTTGATCCGCACTTGTATACACCATGCCTATTTTTATCGTGCAAACCGTACGTCAAAATATTTTTGCATATTATTACGACCTGGTCACATGTCTTGAACATAAAACATGTTTTCCGCTATTTTAACCACGTTTAAAAAAGTCCCTAGAATATCATAATTTTCATGAAGATAACAACGTACGCTTTCCTTTGATGTGAGATGACTGGAATGAGTTTCGGCACTGTTTTGCGCTTTCATTTTTTCATGCCGAGAACCAAAACCCGCAGCGGTTACTTCCCCTAATCAGTATAGAAAACCAAATCAATAAGACTGACGGAAAGGGCCGAGTAGTTGCGATTGAATTTCTTTTTCCCAGCGATTTTCCCGCTGTAATTTACGGGAAACATTCCAGTGGTCATGAATTCGTAAAGAAGCATGTGACTCAGTTATGAAAATATAATTAAATGTGCAAAGCTTGGAAGAAAGGTACGATCTGATAATAACATGCAGTTATTTATTAAAGGAATATATGCATCGACTGATTTACACCAGAAATAAATGGCATGCGATAACATGAATACCTGAAATATATGTAGGTCAGTTGTGTTTACATTTCGAAGCTTGGTATCTTCAGGAAATTGAAGCGTTGGAAAAAAATTGACTTTTTTAAAACGTTATGAAATTCTATTCAAACTTGTTCATGTGTTAGACACTTAACCGTCTCATACTAATATAAGCACAAATTTAAAACTTATTCTTGTAATAAACAATACTATTAGTTTTTAATATTCAGGGGCGGAGAAGGGCGGGGTCCATACTTCAAGTGTCTGTGGTTTTGATTAATTGATTTGAAGCTTGCATATATGAGAGGTTGTTCTTAATATTTCTATTGTTTCTTTGTATTAATATTATCACCATAATATACCTTTTAATAGAAAAGTATTCTTTCCTTTATTTGAAGTAATATCGATTCGCGCCAAGTCACAATTCGCCACCTTACAACTCGAACCAATTCATCTACATCTACATCATACTGCTTAACAATCAATTCTGATTATGACTAGCAGGCGCGTTGTCAGGGAACTGTTAATAAAAGAATTTATTTATATGCAAATTAAAAAGTTAAAAGAATAAAAGTTCTACAAGACTATTAATTTAAAAACATAGTGTGCAGTTTAGAATTTATAGAATGGGTCAAGCCTCTCAGTAAAGATGTTTAAACTGGGGCTGGACTGAACAGTTAGGGAAGGCTATTCCAAAGACGTATGCTCCTAGGAAAGAAAGAATTTTGATGATATTGTGTCCTCGAGTAGGGTATCAGGTAGTTCAGATTTCTTGTTTGAGTAAGGTGTTGGTGGTCAACAAAAACAATGTTGTTTTGGATTTTATACAAGTAGGTTACAGCACTGATGTTTCAACGCTGTTCAAGGGTTTGCCAATTAAGATCATTAATCATTTTTGAGACACTACTTGTATAGTCATAATCATTAAAAATGTATCTAGCAGCTGATCTTTGTACTTGCTCTATCTTATAAATTAAGTATTTCTGCCAAGGATGCCAAACTATGGAGCAATATTCAACCTGAGGTCTAACATAGGTCTTATATGCAGTTTCTTTTATCTTTTTATTTGGAGTTTTAACATTTCTTCTAATGAATCTGAGGGAGTTATTTGCTTTGGATGTGATGTTGTTTATATGTTTGGTCCATGAAAGGTCTTGACTAATAGTGACTCCTAAGTATTTCGCTTCTTGAGTTGAGTTAAGTTGGATGTTATGGAGGGTATAAGGAAATATTACAGGGTTTCTTTTTCTTGTTATCCTGAGAACTTCACATTTGTCAGGGTTGAATTCCATGGACCAGTCTTTTTCATATTTTTTCTAAAGCATGAAGGTCATCTTGGAGGGTTTGGGCATCTTGTTTAGATCTGATGGTTAGGTAGACAACAGTATCATCTGCAAAGAGTCTAACCTTACCTTTGACACTATCTGGGAGGTCATTGATGTAAGAAAGGAAAAGACAGGGACCTAATACCGAGCCTTGGGGGACACCTGAGAGAACTGGTAGAATTCCTGATTTTTGACCTTCAACTACAACTTGCTGGGAGCGTGACTTAAGGAAGGAATGGACCCAATTTGTAACCTCATAACTTATACCCAATCTTTCTAGTTTACTCACAAGTTTGTGATGGTCCACCTTATCAAATGCCTTACTGAAATCCATGACTATGACATCAGTTTGTTTGGCCACTTTCAAGATTGTCATGAATTTCCTGAGAGAAGCTTACTAGCTGGGACTCACAACTCCGTTTTGACCTGAAGCCATGTTGATAGGGGCTAAGGATGTTGTGTTTATCATAAAAGGACATAATATTGGACACTAAGATGTGCTCCATCAATTTGGACGCTATGCATGTGAGGGAGATTGGTCTATAATTGCTGGGTTTGCATTTTGGGCCTTTTTTGTAAACTGGGGCAATTATTGCATGCTTCCAGTCTTCTGGGACAATACCTGTTTTAAGTGAGATCTGGAAGATGTGGGTCAGAATGGGAGTAACCTCTTGATGGAGCTCTTTTTAATAACCTAGGGGATATTTGGTCAGGACCAGAAGCTTTATTTGGGTTTTAGGTCTTTTAAAAAGTTTCTTCACACCATCTTCCGATATAGATACTTCTGGCATAGATGGGTGGTGTTTTGGAATAAGCTTCTGTTTGCAAGCCTGGGATAAGCTAAGGGGCTGAGGCCGAGAGAAGACAGACTCAAACTGGGAGTTAAGGATATCTGCTTTTGCGACTGGATCAGTAAATGTTTGACCTTCTGATTTGAGGGGTGCCACACCACAGCTTTCAGTTTTATTACTTTTAACATATTGGTAGAATTTTTTATTTTTTCACATTTTGGGAGTCTTGGCTAAAAAAATGACAGAGTCTAGGTATTGCCAGTATGCTTTCCTAGTTTCTCTTTGGATTTCACTTTTAAGTACTTTGAGCTTTTTGACCAAATCATTTGATGGGGATTTTGACCTTTTAATGTTTGAATAAGTTCTATCACGTTTCCTAATTTTTCGAATAATGGACTTGTTTAACCATGGTAGATCTCGACGTGTTTTAGTGACTTTAGTTGGTATGTGAATAGAACAAAGGTGGTTTAGTTCGTCCTTGAAGGAAATCCAGGCTTTGTTGGGGTCAGTGTGGTGTGTTTCACTGTAGACCTTGGCATATTTACTTACGTCATTTTTTAAACAATTCCAGTTTGCCTTATTATAACATTGGATTTCCCTCTTTGATTGAAGTGGACGCCCTCTGTTAATTTTGATTTCATGAAAGACTATGTCATGATCTGAGGAGCCTAAGGGAGGTAAGGTTTTTTGTACTATGTACGTGGGGAAGGCATGTTTGTGAGGAACAGGTCAAGGACGTTGTTACCTCTGGTAGGGATGTTGACCATTTGTTGTAGGTTCAAGTTAATGAGATTTTCAAGGAAAGAAGTGTATATGTTTGGGAACTTACAACCTTCTGTCAGGGATTCTGTTGACCAGTCGATGCTTGGCATATTGAAGTCCCCAAGCACCCCAGACAATACTATTTTTGGGGATCTTTTTTATGGAAGACCAAAGTTCATTGAGGGGTATCTCATCCTTCTCGTTAGGTTTATAGAAGGAAGAGATATAGATGTCCTTAAAACCTTTAAGGGACATTTTGGCCCAAACTGCATTATATTTTGATTTCAGATCAGGTTGTTCCTGATTTAGGATGGATTTCGATATAGCAACGAGGGTTCCCCCACCTTTGCCTTCTAGTCTATCATCCCTATATACCTGGAAGTTTAAGAAGTCAGGAAAAATTTCAGCAGTTGATATTTCAGGTTTTAGCCATGTTTCAGTACAGCAAATAATGTCAGGTTTGACTTGGGATATTACCTGTTGTAAATCTGGTATTTTATTTTTAATAGAGCGGCAATTTATGTTTAAGACGCACAACCTTTCACATTCTCTATCATATTATTTTTTTTTTTGTATTGTTTTAAAACAAAAATTTAATTTTTAATTTGTCATTTAAAGTCAAACAGGTCATTATATTGGAAATCAATATGACACATTATTTTTAACACTTTAAGTTTTTAAATTTTTAACTTATAATATATAGGAAAGGGATACAGAGGTACCGTTGTGGCAAAGTTTTATCTTCTATATAAAAACCAATCCCTAGGCTATATAGGGCTTTGTAACTACAAGTTAGGACGTAAAATTTCAAATTGAGAGTTACTTAAACATACCCGGTAGTATACAAAAATAAAAGCCGAATTAGGACTTGTAATCTCCTAATTAAAACTACATGTATGTAACTTCTAATTTGGAGAAAAACATTTATATGATGTGATAAATTTCTATTTAAAAGGAAAAACATAAAAAAGACATAATTAACACCTAATAAGGAGAACAATCTAAACAGAACTTTACAGTCTTCTAATTAAGAGAAAAAACCCAATTAGCTGATTAGTGACTTTGTAAATTCAAATTTATAATGGGATAAAAGTGTAATTGGATCTTAAGTACATGTAAGTCCTAATAAGACATATTTATTTCTCCTTATTAGGAGTTAGTAAGGCCTTATTATTCTTTTATATCTCTTAATTAGGGAGTAATTAGTTTATACTAGGCCTAATTAAGATTTCATTTCTCCTGATTGGGCTTTAATAAACTCTTTAAAAAGAAGTTTGTTACTCCTTGAACATTTTTTATTTCTCATTCCTAGTCTTATCCAACACCTAAAGTGAGAAAATAAACCATAATATGACTAAAATGATTGTTAGAAACTTTAGTTATAAATTCAACCAAAAACATTTAATAGAAATATATACTTGCTTTTTTTGTAAAGAGTACAAAAAAATGTAGTGTAAACACATGCATTCACTCATTAACCAGGTTTTCCGAAGGAAAAAACTGGTTATTAGATTTAGGTATTTCGGCGGGCGGATGGGCGGACGGGCGGGCGTAAACAATTTCTTCTGTGCGCAACTCCTCCTACATTTCTCAACGGATTTTGACCAAACTTTCACAGAAGCTTTGTGATCAAGTGCCCTGGTGCATATTGTCGGGGTTTTGCATGTAGATAATATTTGACCTAATTATGGCCCTTTGTTTTTTTTCCTTATATAGAATATATAGTGAACAATTTCTTCTGTGCACAACTTCTCCTACATTTCTCAACGGATTTTGACCAAACTTTCTCAGAAGCTTTGTCATCAAGTGCCCTGGCGCATATTGTCAGGGTTTTGCAATTGGTATATATTTGACCTAATTATGGCCCTTTGTTTTTTTCCTTATATAGAATATATAGTGAACAATTTCTTCTGTGCGCAACTCCTCCTACATTTCTCAACGGATTTTGACCAAATTGTCAGAGAAGCTTGCTCATCAAGTGCCCTGGCGCATATTGTCGGGGTTTTGTGATTGGATAATATTTGACCTAATAATGGCCCTTTGTTTTTTTTCCTTATATAGAATATATAGTGAACAATTTCTTCTGTGCGCAACTCCTCCTACATTTCTCAACGGATTTTGACCAAACTTTCTCAGAAGCTTTGTTATCAAGTGCCTGGCACATATTGTCGGGGTTTTGTGATTGGATAATATTTGACCTAATTATGGCCCTTTGTATATTTTTCCCTTATACAGAATATATAGTGAACAATTTCTACAGTGCGCAATTTCTCCTACATTTCTCAACGGATTTTGACCAATCTTTCACAGAAGCTTTGTCATCAAGTGCCCTGGCGCATATTATCAGGGTTTTGTGATTGGATAATATTTGACCTAATTATGGCCCTTTGTTTTTTTTTCCTTATACAGAATTAAACAAATTCTTCTGTGCTGAACTCTTCCTACATTTCTCAACAGATTTTGTTCAAACTTTCACAGAAGCTTTGTCATCAAGTGCCCTGGCACATATTGTCGGGGTTTTGTGATTGGATAATTTTTTACCTAATTATGGCCCTTTGTTTTTTTTCCTTATACAGAATATATATAGTGAACACTTCTTCTGTGCGCAATTCCTCCTACATTATTCATGTTTTACGTTGCATATAGTTACATTGTTTGTTGCTTGTATTTGTATTTCAAATACTACATATTTATCTACAATGGTGATAATTGAAAACCTGGTTTCATGGCATTGCCATGTTTCTTGTTTTAATGAAGTAAATTTAATTTTAAGTAAAATAGAATAGTGGTCTTAATATTGAGATTCTTCTGTATTCAGATGGAGAAAAATGTGGCAAATATTTCCAGGCCACAGTCACTTCTTGACCAGTGCACTGAAATGGTAGCTACTCACCTTGACCAAGTAGAGAGTTTTGTTGGTCTACCGTCGCTGATAGGGGAGAGGATATTTAATGCTGGTTGTAACAGGGAGAGGTTCAAGTTGGATGTTGAATATTCAACACAAGCAGTAAGACTTTTCACAGATGCTTACGAGGAACAGTTCTTGTCAAGCCTCAGTGTTAGTGGTAAGTATTTTTGGTATAAAAAGAAATCTGTGTTATTCTTTTCATTATCTTTTGTTTTTCTTCAGGAATCAGAAAAAAAGATATGATTCTTTTTTAAAAACAATCAATGGTTTAAATTGTAGGTCAGTATTGGGTTTTAGAAATATTTATAATTTTGAAAAAAATGACTACAAAAGGCTGATTTGAAATTGTAACACAAATAATAAACACCCTTGAATGTGTCTTTTCAAAATTTTGACCTACAGAAGTTGTTGCATAAAACTTTTGCATATGTAATATTAATTGTTTAAGCCTATATGTTTCCTATATTGAACATTTTTATTAGGCCTTTTCCTAGCCATTTTGGCAAAAAGTACCTTGCCCAGTCTAGGAAATTTTGTGCTGTAAATTTGGTTACCTGGAAAATATTTAGTACCTTTTGAAACCTCTTTTTTCTGCTGAGTCTCTATTGGCATAGTATTTTTAACTGTGCATTATTGTTTATTCTAACATGACCAGCACTTTTCCCTATTGAACATAGAAGAATCGAAAGAACAAAGTCACTGTTGACGTTCTATATTTAGACATGTGACGTAATCATTATACATGTGACGTAACCACTTAAAAAAATGAGACGCACTGAAAATAAATACGGAAACAAATCAAGAACAATTTAGCTTAATATCAGTTACGGCAGCATTTATTTTTTGATGTCATGTTAGAATCGAAATAATATATCCAAATCAGTGATTTTATCACTTGATAACATCACTGTTTGTCGTTAGAATGCGCATCATTATATCACTTGGGCTACGCCCTTGTGATATTATTTCTCGCATCCGAACTCCAAACAGTGATGTTATCGAGCGATAAAATCACTGTTTGGGATATATTATTTCTTAATTATAAACAATGCAAATATAAACCCATTCCTAACAAATTTACTAATTTTTGACAAAGAAATTGAAGGAACAACATTCTGTTTGTTTGATACGCGAATGAAGGTCAGCAAATTTGTTAGTTGTTTAATACCAGGAATTTAAGTTTTTTAAGACTGGGAAAAAAAGGTAAGCATATTTGCTATAGGGTATGGGTGTAATTGGGAATCTGACACTGGAAAAAGGCCTGTTTATAGTCATTTCACAGCTGATTTATACATAAATGTATACTGCAAGTGTTAATTAATCTAATTTTAGTAATTTGGTATTTTTGATATATGACACAGAATATTATGAAATTGTTTCTGTCTTTACATACAGGTGAGCATTTAGGTTTGAACTACTGTTTGGAACAGATATTGTTATTTAGAGATCTGGTAAAGCTTGATATGTCATATTGCGGTCTTGGAGATGATCATGAAATGTTGACGCAGTTTCAGAATCTAAACAGGTTGGTTTAGTACATTAAACAAAGATTTTTTTAACTGTCTGGTGGCTAGTTGCAATACACCTTTGCTATAATAACAAAATTTGCCAGTGCCGTCAGATACAATTTACAAGAATTTTGCACTCCGGGCTGCTGGTAAAAACTAGAATATCTAGCTTTAGGGTAACTTTTCATGGCAGTAATGAGGCTCTGCCAAGGTTCCGCTTATCAGTTTTTCAAGAGCTAGATTTAACTTGTAAAATTTCAGAATATTTTTTACCTATATTTATGTTAATGTTGGAAAAAAATAAAATTTGCATAAATGATAAGTTTACACATAAAATTTGACTCATGTTACCTATCCTGATGCCCAAAATTTAAATGTATATCATTTATTCATAAAAAGAAAACTAGAACCTACTGAGTTTGTGTAATGAATATGGCTTGCTTTGAGTTCTTTCAAAGTTTAAGGAATTTCAATATCAAAATACGAAACCTAGACTACGAACAGTATGGAGCCTTATCAGACTGCATGGGTGTGAAAGCTGGCCTGGCTATATACTAGTGATACAGTCTAATCACTCACGGCTCAGGCATGGTCATAAAGTATGTAAGCAATTATAAGAATATTCACAATTAAGACCACCCCACAATTAAGACCACTTTGGTCCAGCCCAGATGATGGTCTCAATTAAGGGCTTTTACTGTATAAATGTAAAATAAATGTTAAACTGTATCATGTAAAATAAAGGCATCCTTTGAATTAAAATAGTTTTCTGTTAAATCTGAAAGTAATCAATGTCAATCAAATTGTAATCATAATTACTGACTGAATTTTAGCTGTAATTGATTAATTACAATTAAATTAATCAATTTTGGACAAGGTAATCAATTACATGATGATTACAGTGTAATCATGTAATCAATTAAAAAATCAATGATTACAATTAATGATTACCCCAGGTCTGCAGGCAGATTAAAGAATATACATGTACAAATTACTCTACTTACAGACTGGAAGTGTTTTCATTGCGGGGAAATGTTATAACCAACACAGGCATTCAGAAAATGACTGCTCCCTACAGAATGTTCAATAGAGGTCCCACTTGTTTACAGATATTAGATCTTAGAGGTAAATAAGCAAAAAAATTGTAAAAATTTTATCATTGGTTTAAGTGATTTGGATCAAGGACTTAGGAGTGCTTAGTTGTTTGAATGAAAGATAATTTATAAATCTAATGCATTTTTTCAAGAATCGAAAAAATGCTTTACACTATAATACACATTTATGAAGAATATAGTTTGTAATTGTCTAATTGAGGTTATTTACAATTTCAGATAACAAGCAGATATCAAAGATGTGTTTAAAATATTTGACAAAGTTTGATTTACTAAATACAGTGATGTTTTCTGAGCTTCAACAGGAAAAGGTACTTCTACTGACGCTGATTTCTACCTTTTATATTGACACTAAATTGTAGAGTTCCATACAGTACTACTGTGAAATCTATGAACATGTGATATTTCATAACAGTGTTTATTAATTTAAACATCTAATTCTAATGTGACATTCTTGGTCTTTTAATTATTCAAAAAAAAAATCCAAGAATGGTGTATGATTGTCTTTAGGGAAAAAGTGTTTACTTCATCATGGTCATAACATACAAAATACTAAGAACAAAAAAACATTTTTTCCCTTGCTGTGTTTGAAAATAACTTTTTTAATTTTTTTATTTTCACATTAAACTTGTTTTAGATAATACTATCAATGGCTTTATATTATAGTCAAAGACCTATGGATGTTGGACACTGGTAGAAGAAAAGTTAGAGATAAATATTGACACAGTGGGATGGGCTAAAGTTCTGATTGATAGATGGATGTTGCAAGCCAGACAAAAATCTGTAAAGTCTAAACCAAAACCCAAGACTGGAGCATTCTGTAAGATCACATGCAGTTTAAGTTTTAAATGTCGAACTATAATTCAACAAAATTTATTTTAATTTCTTTGGTTTACTTTTTGTGATGAAGGTCAGTGGTTCTACTACAGTTCCAACTCATGTCTGAATAATGTATTGAGGCACTCTTCATGTATCACTGGGAAAACCCCTTACTGTGTTGAATTAAAACCCCCAAAAAAGAATGAAGATAACTGATATAAAGGACAATGAAATACAGGACTTGTATATTTGAATTCCAATTTGCGCCAAGAATCTCCAAATCAATTCACAGTAATTGGTTTGTTGTATAGTTTATAGAAACATATGCTAAAGCTCTTCACATTTTACCTTGTTTTGTATGGGCCATGTCCGGATATGAAATAATCTTTTGTCTCCGTTGGGATTTCAAAATCAAATCACTTAACACAATATTGAACAGTTGACACCACAAATCAAAGGGGCCACTAGTTCAATCCACCACTACTCCAATTTAAATTGATAAGTAACAAGTCTTTCTTACGTTACTTTAAAATTCATGGTACTGTTGGCTGACTAACTTATATACATCTTATATATTTCATCTTAAAATCCTCAAACAGATAATAGACAGTTTCAAAATAGAAGCTTGACAAGTCCATTTTATAAAATTCAATACGTTAAAGATGTAAACAAAATATTATATATATACAAATGAATATGTACTGTTACTTTCATTACTTTGATATAAATATTGTTCCTGTTGTCAGTTGTCATCTGTCTTTTTTTTGCAGCAATAAGAAAATGTATACCACAGACTGTTACAGATGTTTTAACATCAAGTCATGATGCTGGGAACCAGCAATATTGTGATGTCATAGCAAGAAGAATAACTGTTTTAGGAAATAACACATTTAGTAGAAATAAAGCAGATGTAAACCACAATAGATTCAGTAGAGAGCACGTTTCTCCAGAATGCAGCAATGATAGTGACAGAGAAAAGGTGGTCAATCTTTATGAAGTGTATGGAAAAGTTGATAATATTTACAAAGAAAAACCCACATTACAAATATTAAATGAGTGTAATGGAGATCAGAAATGCTCAGAGAAATCTGTGGGACAAAGTGTCAGGCACTCTAGAAATGGCAGACAAAGAAGTTCTGATCATATTACATTAAAATCTTCAAAAGATTGCCTAATAAGTTCAGGAAATGCTAATCCATTTAAAATGGATAGTTACATTGGTGTAGATGGTAAAACAAAAACAACTTGTGAAGGAAAAGTACATTCTAAAGTCAATGATATAAGGGTAAAGGGACATAACTTAAGGACTCACGGACATACCCAGAAGGTCAAAGGAAGTGATATAAGAATAAAGAGTAGTGTTAAAAAAGTTGATCAAACTAATATAAAAATTTCCAGATTCTTTACTAGTACACAGACTGTGCAATGTAATGAAGTTAAACCTCAGTGTGATGACCAGTTTAAAGACCATAAACAATGTGTAACCAATGACAACCAGTCAAATTTCACCCCAACAAGCAATACTTCACAGGGAGACGCAGACTCTGTACTACAAGGAGATTCAGCGTTAAGACAGAATATAAATCCAAGTGTTACAAAATCCAGGAAAAGAAAAAGAATAGTGATCAAGCATAATCCTGGATTAAAATCTTCATTTAGTAGTGAAACTGAGGCATTCAGCTTTGACGATGAAAACAAGGAAAATCCTGACAATAAGAAGGAGGATAAAGAATTGAATAATGAATCTTTACAAAAAACAAAAAAGTTTAAGTCATCTTTAATGCAGTCTTTAGATAAGTGTTTTTGATATCATTAAAGTAATAAATACTATGAAATAGATTTTTTTTTTTTGGGGGGGGGGGGGGGGGGAATAACTTTGTTTACATCTAGAGTGTATGCAGTCAAAGAGTTTATAATTACCCTTGACGTCCAATGTAGCTTGTCCACAACTTCTAGGTCTTCTCAAACTACATGAAACAATGTTGACCATGATTTTAGACTCTTTGAGTTCTACAAATCATATGAATTCATGAAAAATATATAATTTGAATGGCCTCACTACTGGGCAAATTAGTGGCATTTTTATACACCATAGAAAGTTTCATACTACATGTATAAAGTTATTCACCATCTGTTAGAAATTTCATGTCCGCTCTGTATCTTTTGAACTGACCAAGGAAATTGAAACTGCTTGACAGAATGTTTACCATAATGAGACAATGTGTAAGAGTACAGTTTTGACCATCAGGTCAAGGTCTTGTTCACACTTAGTCAAGTATATTACAAATGTTTATGTCTGCCTTGTATCTTTTGAAATGATACAATAAAATTAAAACTACATTTTGAATTTGGAAGAAATATTACTTATAATGAGACAATGTGCAGAATGCAGGTTTGGGCTTACTGGGCGAGGGTCACTTTATATAGTCTTATACAATGTATATAAGAAAACACATTGAAGTTTTAATAAGTGAAACTTAGATATTTAGCATGTAGTATTGCTTAATTGACCTGTGCAAATGTTATATAAATAATAACGCAGGGTAAAAATGCTCTTGTTAGAATACAAGTACATTGTATCTACATTTTAAGGGTACCAGAAGTCTTCCCTTTCGTAAGGAATAGCTAGTTACTTATATACATGCTAGAGCAATTGTACAGTGTGTATGACCATTGAAAGGATTTTACGATCATTAAAAATGAAAATGACTTGCCCTGTCTAGGAATTGAACCTGGGTTGCCTGATTCACAGTCCAACACTACCAATTGAGCTAACCAGGTGGCAATTATCAAAGAGGTTTCGTGCAGGTATATATCTAACATGTAACAGTAACATGGCAGAGTTGTCTCCCATATAACACAAAGCACAGTGTTGTTAAAAGTTATTAAAACATTAAGGTCTTGTTGAATCATTTCATATAATTGGTTTCATACCAACAGGAAGACATGATATTTTACCTTGATATAATCAGGCGGGATGTATAATGAAAAAACACACACACAAAAAAACAACAGACAAAACTTGAGGTTTTTTAAGTTTTTAATATGTTCTATTGCATTCATTGAAAAAAAGGCAAAAAAATCAACTTTCTTCTTTCCAGCATTGAATAGATATCAATATTGGGCATAAATTTTATTGCATTTTATATGATTGTTATTATTCAAATTAACAGTGGATAATATTGATAAAAGTAATGCCCTTTTGTGATAAATCAAAAGAATTTTTGATGTTTTACACAATATTATACAATATTTATACAAGAAAATATTCTGTTCTGAAATTTAAAAAAAAAACATTTTTCAGTTTAATACATTTCACTTCATGCTTGATTTTACATGGGTGATTTTGTTGTTTTTTTGTTCATTAACTACATGGTACTTGGAGATAATACACAAAATCAGAGATACATCTACAAAATAAGTGAGAAAAAATATTATAAATATGCAAACTAAACCTAGACAAAAGTGGCATTGAATATATTTAACTATCTTTTATAAGGAATCAATATATAGTGTGCATTTTACAAAGCTTGATAAGTTGTTGTTTTTACATAATTTATACTGCTTAAAGCCTTTTGTCCTTGAAAGAAATGTTTGAATCAGAATTTATTGTAGTTCAGATCAATTAAGGATTTTATGTATTTTCTTGGATTAAACTAAGAAATAATCATAAATTTAGACAATGACATTTATATTAAGACAATGACTTTTCAAATACATGTATACATATTTGTATTGTAGGTCTAGACTATATTAATCATTTTAAAGCATGTAGATCTATCAATATATGAAATAAAGGCATATGATTATGTTGCTACCGGTAATTTTGCATGTATCACAGCTCTTTAAGGTCATTATAATGTATTTATATTTCAATTTTTATTGTTCACTATTATAAAAGAAATTCATGTAATATATGGCCAATCAAATTTCAATATGTATCATACCAAATTTGTCATATATCTGGAAAAGTATTATTTTGAAAAATAAGTAAAAAAGCGTATTTTATATAAACTGTAGGAAATGATAGACATTTCATTCCATAAAGCTGTCACGTAATTTGGTAACTGGACATTGCGACTTATTTCTTCTCTTGTGTACTTCTACTGAAATGATGATATTCTTACATACAGTTAGAAATCACCAATTAAATGATTATAAATCAGTTATTCATCTTTGGAGACAAAGCTTCCTCTCAGAAGAGAAAGAAGTACACTTTTGTAATACCCGCCACATTCATCTTTCACAGCATCAAAGAGGTCGGTCTCATAAAGTTCTTGGTATCGCACCATGATCCATTTCAAACTGTCCTGTAAGTGATAGAAATCAATTAACACCCTAATTAGCTCTTTCTCAACTCAAACTGAAAACAATGTAAAATTATTTGTTCTGAAATTCAGGATCTTAATAGTATATTAATATGTTTAGTTCAATACAATAATACTGGCATACAGGTTTAAATCATAGCCACACTTTTGTACTAAGAAGGTGTTATAGGTTTATTAACATTGAGGTTTTCAATTTTGAAAATCCAGTTTATTAGACTGGTTAATGGCAGGTGATCAGGCATTAGGCAGATATCGAATAGATGGTTACTGGTCGATAACTAGGGTTAGGAAAAAATGTAAATCAAATTTTTCATGTTACAAGTTTATGTGGAGACCTAGCCTGCGATTGCTCATAGGGTCAAGGTCACTGTTACTAAAAATAGAAAAATGGTTTTGAGTTTGAAAACCTGGTTTCATGGCCATACCATATTTGTTGTTTATATTATTACCATTATCACTAACATTTTTACACTTCCGGCTGTAATGTTATAATTAAAAATAAACAAAGGATTTAAAAAATATTTGATTTTTGTTATTTAAGTTATAAACATTTTCTATAAATTTCCTAATGAACACTCCACAAAGCAAACTTTTAATTTCTAAACAGTATGAGTTTTCAGATTTTTGTAAATGGTGTTAAAAACATAAAACAGCCACAATTTTATAATTTTTATAATTCATTGTAATAATAACAGCTGATTAGCTAGTTTATAATATATGCACATTGCGCATGCTCAATAACATGTCTAGCCAGTACCTCGATGTTAGGGATTTTAGGAGAATAAATTTACATCTTGTAGAGTATACACGTGTTTGTGTTATATCACTATTTTGTGAAGTCTACTTGATTATTATAACTCCCAACAACAAAACATTCATCAATATTTTTTAAAAGTTGGATCATGGTTTAAACTGATTTCCAAAGGTAGTAGCAATTGTAATTTGTTTAAAAATCAGATACAATAAAACTTACCTCAGCCTGGGAACAGATACATCGAATGAGTTCCTTGTCATCAGTACCCAAACCTTTCATTGCTTTGTAAAGTCTTTCAGCAAAATAGCCTTCCTTGTCTCTGGTTACTTTTACTAAAATATCATACGAATACAGATAATAACTGGAAAATGTTATCAATGTAATTGTGTGGGCATCAAACATTATGCCCTGTCTCTGACAGGTAACTTTGACTAAAACCTCATACAAGTATAGATATACTGGAAAATGTATTAATATATGTATACACATCAAACAATATAATTTTCTATATTCTTAACCTTTAACCTGCTGACTTTCAGAATGGACTTGTCCAACTTCCATTTTTTGAACAGTTTATTATCAGTTTGGGGGATATCAAGATGGAAACATGAAGTTAGTCAGCCAACAGTTTAGAGCCTGCTGAGGCTGCATGGATATTATATATTTTTATTAGTTTTACATAGTTTGCATAATATATATCTATTGTTTAAGCTAAAATCATAGGTATTATGACTTTTTACACATTGTTTTAGCTTAAAACAAATACTGGTATTTAATAGTGTGTTAACTAAAAGAAATGATAATAGGAATTAATGATTTACTTATAGCATGGAATGCCTCCTGAACATCGGAGCTCATTTCACTATCTATGTCTTCATCAAGTGAAGTTCCATCTCTTTTCTCTTCGTATCTTTTAATCACCTTTTTCAGGTGATCATAGCTTCGTAAACAAAGCACCTTGTTGAATTCACTTTCATCAGTACCCCAGGATCCCACACCAGCCTGTGTGAAAATAAAGTAGTCAATGCTTTTAAAATGAAAGGTTAATTACAGTTGATTACAGTTTGATTCAGAAATATTCGAGACGTCCAGACCTTGTACACAGAAGAGAATTCTGTTTTGAAGTACATGTTTATATGGAAAACAACAAAGGGCCATAATTTAATTCTTAACATTTTCAAAGTGCTGAAAAGGATAAAAGTGGGAAAGAAAAATGGAAGCTGAAGTCAGATCATGACAGTATTGGTCAGTTAGTGTATAGTGTTTAGGTAGGAATTGCACACACACAAATTTGTTAAAGCCTTCCTGTTGGCCAAAATCTTTAATGACCAGGTTTCTCTGTAAAAAACCTGATTAATAATATGATCCTGTCATCAACCTCTCAAACATATTAAAGAATCATTCATTAAACCCTGTGGCAAATTTGCCATCAGGCATAATTATACTGCATCTCAGCAGAACTCTTTTTACAATGTTTTATCTACCCTATATGATAAACAAGAGGGCCATGATGGCCCTGAAGTCGCTCACCTGTATATAGGCCCCCATAGAGGGGCCAGTTTAAACCCCAGGGCTTTTATTTGAACAAACTTGGTAGACACCCATTAGAAGATGTTTCATGCTAAACATCTAAGGTCTAGCTGGTCAAGTTTTTTCTTTACACATATAGTTAAAAACAATGACACACCTGGGGCAGGGCCAGTTTGGACCCAAGGGCTTTTATTTGAACAATCTTTGTAGACACTTTCTAGAAAATGTTTCATGTTTAATATCTGAACTCTAGCTTTCGAAGAAGATTTTTAAGTTTTTGCTATACACATATAAGGAAAATCAATGACCCCCGGGTTGGGGCCAATTTTGACCCCAGGGCTTTTATTTGAACAAACTTTGTAGACACTTACTAGAAGATGTTTCATGCTTGATATCTAAACTCTAGCTATTTGGGTTTTTTCAAAGAAGATTTTTAAGTTTTTGCTATACACATATAAAGAAAATCAATGTCCCCTGGGGCGGGGCCAATTTTGACCCAAGGGCTTTTATTTGAACAAACTTTGTAGACACTCACTAGAAGATGCTTCGTGCTTAATATCTAAACTCTAGCTATTTGAGTTTTTTCAAAGAAGATTTTTTAAGTTTTTGTTATACACATATAAGGAAAATCAATGACCCCCGGGGCGGGGCCAATTTTGACCCCAGGGCTTTTATTTGAACAAACTTAGTAGACATCTATTAGAAGATGTTTCATGCTTAGTATCTAAACTCTAGCTATTTGGTTTTTTTCAAAGAAGATCTTTTAAGTTTTTGCTATACACATATAAGGAAAATCAATGACCCCCGGGGCGGGGCCAATTTTGACCCCAGGGCTTTTATTTGAACAAACTTGGTAGACACTCATTAGAAGATGTTTCATGCTTAGTATCTAAACTCTAGCTATTTGGTTTTTTTCAAAGAAGATTTTTTAAGTTTTTGCTATACACATATAAGGAAAATCAATGACCCCCGGGGCGGGGCCAATTTTGACCCCCAGGGCTCTTATTTGAACAAACTTGGTAGACATCCATTAGAACATGTTTCATGCTAAATATCTTAGCTCTAGCTCTTTGGGTTCTTTAAAAGAAGATTTTTTAAGTTTTTACTATATGCATATAGGGAAAATCAATGACCCCCTGGGGCGGGGCCAATTTTGACCCCAGGGCTTTTATTTGAACAAACTTGGTAGACACCCATTAGAAGATGTTTCATGCTAAATTTCTTAGCTCTAGCTCTTTGGGTTTTTTAAAAGAAGATTTTTTAAGTTTTTACTAAATGCATATAGGGAAAATCAATGACCCCCTTGGGCGGGGCCAATTTTGACCCCAGGGCTTTTATTTAAACAAACTTGGTAGACATTCACAAGAAGATGTTTCATGCCAAATATCTAAGCTCTAGCTCTTTGGGTTTTTTTAGAAGAAGATATTTAAAGTTTTTTCTTTTGGTTACCATGGCAACCAGAGTTCTGCATGGAATTAAATTCTTTGAACAATTTTCAAAGGTGACCACCATCATGGCCCTCCAAAGGAACATTCATGTGAAGTTTGGATGAAATTGGCTTAGTGGTTTTTGAGGAGATGTCATTAAAAGTAAAAGTTTACGGACAACCGATGGACGGACGCCGGACGAAAAAGCGATCACAAAAGCTCACCCTGTCACTTTGTGACAGGTGAGCTAAAAAACATGACATTTTATCAAATGGTCAAATTTTGTTACTGTAATATTGTCAGAACAAACCTTTTTTCACGCTATACTCTTTAGAAAGTTATCAAGTTAAAAGGTCGCTTTAAAAATTAATGTCCGTAAAGAAAGTCTGTGATATAATGTAACAGCAAAGAAAATAACGCCAAGCCACAAAAAACAAATTTTTTCCAAAAAATTGACATCATAAATATATTTGAGCCGCGTCACGACAAAACCAATATAGTGTTTTTGCGACCAGCATGGATCCAGACCAGCCTGCGCATCCGCGCAGTCTGATCAGGATCCATGCTGTTCGCTGTCAGTTTCTCCACTTGTAATAGAGTTGATAAGCGAATAGCATGGATCCTGATCAGACTGCGCGGATGCAGTATATTTTTACTTGAACAAGGTTTTCCGCATCAGTTTCAACAGCATCATCATCAGGATCACTCTCCTGGCGTCCACCTAGGCAAAGGGATCTCATTAAGCGTTGAAAATATCCACTTGTGTCATCCTTTATATCTTCTGTCATGTCGGACTCATATTCTGTAAATAATTTATTAAAATAATAGTGAAAACACAATTTATATAGAGTCATTATGAAAAATTAAGAAATATACAAAAGGAACATCTTAAGGGTCATTATGCAAATTATACCAAACTGGAAACAGTTCAAGGCCCAATGAAATAATGATACTAAAATAGAGCATTTGAGAGCTGTCATGAAAGTTCTATCAAAAAATAAACACAATAGAATATCTGAGAGCAATCATGAAAGTTCTATAATAATTTGAACACAATAGAATATCTGAGAGCAATCATGAAAGTTCTATCAAAATGTGAACACAATAGAATATCTGAAAGCAATCATGAAAGTTCTATCAAAATTTGAACACAATAGAATATTTGTGAGCAATCATGTAAGTTCTATCCAAGAAAAACACAATAGAATATCTGAGAGCAATCATGAAAGTTCTATCATAATTTGAACACAATAGAATATCTGAGAGCAATCATGAAAGTTCTATCAATAGGTGAACACAATAGAATATCTGAAAGTTCTATCAAAATGTGAACACAATAGAATATCTGAGAGCAATCCTTAAAGTTCTATCAAAATGTGAACACAATAGAATATCTGAGAGCGATCCTGAAAGTTCTATTGAATTTTGAACACAATAGAATATCTGAAAGCAATCATGAAAGTTCTATTGAAATTTGAACACAATAGAATATCTGAAAGCAATCATGAAAGTTCTATCAAAATTTGATGACAATAGAATATCTGAGAGCAATCATGAAATTTGAACACAATAGAATATCTGAGAACAATCATGAAAGTTCTATCAAAATTTCAGCACAATACAATATCTGAGAGCAATCATGAAAGTTTTATTGAAATTTCAGCACAATAGAACATCTGAAAGCAATCATAAAAGTTCTATCAAAATTTCAGCACAATAGAACATCTGAAAGCAATTCTGAAAGTACTATTGAAATTTCAGCACAATAGTTACATTCTGATATATGGCTTTACAGAAAATTTGTCATAGTGTATCTTATAAATAGGATCTATTATAATTCATGTTTTTCTTTAGAAGCTAGCATTACGTCAATGTTGTAAAATACGTAGTTTTCAGAGATAAAACACTGGGCCATTGGAAAAATATAGACCTTTAAAACAATGTTAATATATATGAAAGCCATGTCTTTTACTTTCTTTGTAGATTTCCTTTATCTTTTCTATCTGTTCATTATTTCTTGTACACAGTATTCCAATCAAGGTGTTTTCATCTGTACCAGCACCCTAAAATACAACAGCAGAAAGTGATCCACTCAGTGAAACATCATTATTTGTGAAATGCATGCATTATTTTAACTACCCAATTTCTGCAAAGTAGCTTTCCCACATGAAAGAATTCAATTTCCTAAACTGTGTTGTAATTAAATCCTAGGTAGTTCAGGGGAAATGGTCTAGCTAGTAAGCAACCTTAAAGCAATATGGTGAAAAATTGTTTTAAATGAGTAAAATTGTTGCTAAAAGTAAATCTCATATATACTTCTTGCCCATGAAGGGTTAGAACAGTTGGTATCAAATCACTCCTGTGCATGAAGGCCTAAAATAAACAAGTTTTACAAGTTCAAAGTGAAATGCAATTGAAATGTAACCAACATGTATATAAAATCATGAGAGATAAAGTACATACACATATAGCCTCATGGATCATGTAAGCATCGTATTCTCTGGGAGGCATCATCAGGGCAACAATGACATCTTCAAGGTCACCAGACAGCTCACTCTTTAAGTCTTCCATCAATACCTGTATAAATAAATTTTAAGTTTTCATTTTAAATCTACAAATTTAACCTTTTACCCCATGAGCATAATGTGAAAAATGGCCGTTTTCATTGAAAAGCCTCCTGTTACAAGTTCAAACTACTATAAAACTATGAAAAATGCTTCAATACTGATGAAACTTGGCACAAATGTTGACTGGACCATAGCCTCTGTAACATCATGCTCAATCTTAAATTTCCTGTTACCATGGCAACGGGGGACGTCTCAAAATTGCGAAAAATTACTAAAAATGATGAAAAACCTTGGAATTACCCATTTTCTAGATTTTTCATGTGAAAAGGTGGCATTACACCTAGTTTTGGTGAAAAATTGTTGTCTTGTGGCATTTTTTATTTTTTTAATTAACAAAAAATGATGAAAAAGCTTGGAATTACCAATTTTCTAGATTTGTCATGTTAAAACGTGGCATTACACCTAGTTTTGGTAAAAAATTGTTGTTTTGTGGCATGTTTTATTTTTTTATAATTAAGTTGTCTTTTATAAACAAACACAATATAAAAACTTGGAAGGAATTCCATTTTTCTACACAGGTTTCACAAATTTTCTTTCCCTTTAAGACAAGCTAGGGTATGAAGCACCCTGACTAATAAAGTTTTATTACCTATACTTTCCTTAAAGAACATACTTTCATCATATACTGCATGCTATTAGGTGCCTTTTTCTTAAAGAACATTCAAATACATGTATATTACACCTGTATATTTCATTATAACTAGCAAAAACATATTTCTGACATCAAGGTATGTATAGAGGGGTTTGGGGTTTGTGACAAATCGATGCACCATACATTTGTGACATGCCTTTTGTTGTCAAGGTCACAAATACTTGGATCTTTTACATACTGACTTCAAAATCATTAGGGGTCATCTGCAGCCAACCTCCACACTATCTAAAGTCTTTTGTTTTCAAAGTCACTGTGACCTTGAACTTTGAGTTTCCGTCCCCAAAATTAGAGGATTTTCTACTCATTGACGTTCGAAGGCTGTTGGTAAATATAGTGTTCTATAGTTATTGAGCGGGGACCGTTTTATGTTCAACATCACTGTGACTTTACCCTTGAGCATCCAAGCCCAAAAACAAAATGGACCTTTATTTTGTTGACTACCCGGTATCACAAAATGGATCTTTATTTATTTGACTATCACAAAATGGACGTTTATTTAGATGACTATCAATCCACGAGGTTTAAAGTCTGACCAAAATACTGATCAACCTACTATATAACATTTGCAAAGCAATATATGCACTCTCCTTCTTTGAAAAAGAGGAGGAGCATGATATATGTCTAGTTAAAAATGTTTTATAAATAAAGCATTTGAGCCGCGTCATGACAAAACCACCATAATGCGTTTGTGACCAGCATGGATCGAGACCAGCCTGCGCATCCGCGCAGTTTGATAAGGATCCATGCTGTTCGCTTACAAACCCTATTACAAGTAGAGAAACTGATAGCGAACAGCATGGATCCTGATCAGACTGCGCGGATGCGCAGGATGGTCTGGATCCATGCTGGTCGCAAACGCATTATGCTGGTTTTGTCATGACACGGCTCATTTATAGGATAGTAACATTATGTTTTGTATTACCGCTCCATAAGCAGATTCGTAAGTCTTTGCGATTTCTTGTCTTTGATCATTGTTGTGCTCCACTAGAACTCGAACTATGTCCTCCTCATTAGTACCTATAAATAGTATAAAAAATGATTTAAACAAAATATATAAATATTACAAAGCTATGAATATGAACACAGATATTTTTTTTCATAATAGTGAACGTCTGATTAAATATGTCCTCAAAAACGTTTTAAATAAAATTGTCAAATACTTAATTAGCGATTCATATATTAAGAGACTAATACCCCAGATACCGTCTGTCCTGCCATGCAAATAATTGGCAGCTGACTATAGCTTAATTACTTTCCATGACTTATGATGATGCAGAAGATATTCCAAGAGAAAATATTGACTTAAATGTGAAAACAAAAACAATATAACAACAGCTCGATCTTCGCTTTTTTACAATGGTTTATAAGAGGGTTATTAGTTCATAGCCTATCTGGGGAATATAATATTATGCAAATATATACGACTGTTAATGGTTATATTATGTAAGCAGTACAAATACATACTATTTAAATGTATATAGAATAAATAATATGTCTGTTTATAAATCTACAGCCAAAATGTACATGTACTAGTGTGCCTTATTGTATGCAAACGCTACTATAAATGTATATCTTTTTACAAATTTGATGTTGTGTCAGCAAATAATAAAGTCGAAGGTTAATATTTTTGGAATCTGCAACCAATTTCAGAACGGGGGCAAAACTTAAAAACTTGGGGGCTATTTTTTTACCTTTTTCTTCTTCGCCCCTCAAAAGTCGAAGACGCAGACACGGTAATTATTTAATTAATTATGCTCTGTATTATTTATTTAAATCTTAATAGGGTCCACCCGCCTTTGGGCAACAAATGCAGTTTTCCTGTCAGTAGGGCCCCCGGACTTCACCAGTATCCCTTTTTTAAGAGTTTTTTTTAAAGCCAAGGGTGAAAATTTAACCTCCATGAAATTTTCCCACGGATATTAGCCAAAATTGAATTTGACCCAAAAAGTAGGGTCACTGTACGGGGTCAATGAGAACCAAATGTACAAAACCTTCAATATAAAAGGGTTGCCCTAAAAAAGGGCCCTGTTTGGTGCCAGCAAAAGGGCCCTGCCTTAAAACCCTCTATCTGTCTTGGGGGGCTCACCACCCACACACCATCCTCGTGTCTCAGCCTATTTTTGTAGGCCACCCCCTGGGCATTATAGTCGGGGACCCCGGTAGCAAATTCTGCAAACAAGTCGGCCCCCTTACACGTTTCCCCAGCGTAGGAACATGGCGAATGCTTGCCGCCCTAAAACGTAGCATTTTCCTTCAAATCATCTGCCGATGCCCTGTGCCTTCTCAGCGACGTGCACGCTCCGAGGGGAAGTGAGATGTAATTATGCTCACATATCGTGTCTTCGCTTTATTTGACTTTTGAGGGCGCTGACACGATCGCAGACAAGACACATTCTCGGCGAAATAACGATATTTTAATAGGTGAAGACATGAGATCTTCTTCTGTAGAATTATCGTGTCGGCTCCCCGATATTTGTCGTATCGCCGTGTTTTCGCCTCAAAAAACGAAAGGCGAAGACACGATAATTGTCCATTTCATCGTGTCTTCGACTTTCGGGGCGAAAACACCACGACACGTAGACTCGATAAATTTGCAAATTATCGTGTCTTCAACTTTCGGGACGAATACATCACGTCAGGAAGACTCGATAAAATTTTAGTTTCGAAGGTGAAGACACGATAAGTGAGCATTATGATTGTGTCTTGTGTCTTCGCGCCTTCGACTTTTGAGGGGCGAAAACACGGAGACACAAAATTGCGGAAACCAGCCACCATTAAATACAGTGTACATTAAAAGACACACATTTGCGGTGTGAAAGTACATGTATACGTATAATTATCAGTGCTATGATACATTTATGTTTCGGAGACTTTAAAATGTAAGAGTGCGATAACGCGATGTAAGACCGCAACTTTCAGTTAATATATAATACGCCGAGTGGCAGTTTTAGTTAGTTTTAGCTTAACATCCGGATCACGACAGTTAGCCACTTTGAATTCATCACAGCACAGTTTAGCCATCGTATTGTTCCTGGGCATGCTGTCCAGCAGTTTGCCAGTACTGTTGCCATCACTTTCGTAAGGAACTAATAACCACTGCAGTATACCGTACCCCGGATATTGCTCGATATAATGAGGACTTTCGTCTCATTTCGCGACTTTGAACGAGGAGGGAGGTAAGGTCAGTGACGATATTTAGTCATTTGGAATTGGTTTGTTATAATTTTTATAGAAAAACACAATACATTTCGATAATTTTCTCATTGCTGAAACCCCAAACATGTTGAAAATAGCTTTAAATGTAAATTAGTGAGGTTAATTCGTCTCTTTGCTCACGTGATAAATGAGCTCGGATCAGTCAAAATTGATGTTTTTGTGCATATACTTCCTCAAAAGAAAAACCTTGAATCGAGTGAAATGTGATAATGATGTAATGTTTATATTAAATGTTCAATTAACATTAAGAGACCCCAGATGCAGTGCATTTTGAGAATAAATACACTGTCAGTTACCGAGATATTGCGTTGGAGTTGCCCGCCGGTTCACGAGTATTCTTTTTAGTGTAACGAGTATTGGTTATCAATATCGGTAAATGAAAGTAGTAAACACAGAGTATTTACCCACATTTTTAATTTTAAAATTTTCTTATTGTGTATACATGCTACTTATTTACACTAATGTGCACTTATGCAGAGTTCGGAGGTACTTTACTAGAAACATCTGCGAATAATTTCCAGATTTTTCATTCTGATCATGAAAAAATCTCAGTCGAATCAGCAATTTTCTGTGTTTACAAAGTTCTCGTTGCTGCTATCGGAAGGATCAACCTATCCAGAATTTTGTTAATCATGTATTATTTGCCATATCTTTAGCTTTAAATAGTAAAAAAAGCATCCAAAGTCCATTAATGCTGCTGAAGGATTGTCAATATTAGATGTCGTATTGAGCAAGTGTGCCAATATCTACATGTTGTGTTATTCAAACGGACTTTCATACTTATGCAAAAAATCCATATAAATGTAACTTTCGGTCAGTTTGTACCTGCACTCTAGCAACGGCAGACCGTCTGCATGCTGGAAATATGTTACTTCGCCATTAGCAATGAGTTAGCCGTATGACTGCCGAGGCGAATACAGCTCAAAAATCGAATTTCGAATAATGGATTTAGATAGATAATTTGATAAAGGGCTGCAGATGCAATAAGAAGGTATATGTTCCTTATTACCTGCTTTACCACATAAAAGGCGTGATTTTAGGACTTCTTGTGCTGTCCTGTTTTTTGTTGGGGTTCCGCCTGGGCTCCTTGTCACTTGGTTCGTGCTTGATGGGTCGAAGGGGGGGTTGCGCGTTAATTGAACACCGCCTTTCCTTTCCTTTTTGTTTATTCATAAAATTTGAAGGCTTTACACCCACCCTAATTTAGAGGCCTAAAAAAAAATAGAAAAGAAAAAATAAAACATGCGCCCTGATGGTTAGAATTTTGAGTTTTGAGAAAATTAATGTTGTTCAACAGAGTGATGCACTTTTGTCGGCACCACCACCACACCCCAGTAAAAGTAACAGATCAAGGAGTGCCACAGGGAGGTGTACCACCTTCTGTTTGTGGGGTTTGAAGTGGCGGAGACAGTAGCCCCTCTTATCGCCACTTGTGCACACACTTTATTTCATCCATAGTGCAATTTTTGAGACGGTCGCCCCCCGTTGATTTCAATCAAATTGGAAAGTTTTAAATCCAGACCCCATAGCTCTGTATGCGATCTCCGGCTAGAGTCTTTATTATTTTGCCGTATTCGTATCGTCAATTTTGAGGACACGAGCAAAGAACAGTAATAATCAATTGGAAAATTTGCCGTGCACTGAAATGCATTGTTGAATCGCTGAATACATATTTGAATAGATATATCATATAAACAGTACATTATCAGCAGAATGTAATGGAATCGATAAACAGACGTGAAAATTAGACAAAAATATCGATTTTCCATACTTATGTGCTCATTTTGTTTTGCAATACACTGTACACTAAAGTTTGGCTATTTTGCAATACTCGGTACACTTAAAATCAATACTCGGTACACTTTCTTTGTATCTTTTTTTGGCCTGTATCTTTTTGTACTTTCACACTTTTTGCCTGAAATTTGGACAAAGCATACTTGGATTGTGAATAAAAAAAAATGCTCGATTCAATTTTTTTTTTAAATTGATAATATAATTATTTCTAACGATTCTACAGTATCGCGGTCAGTATTTCCTAGTGAGCAGCAGATCGTTTAGAGGTAGTTTAATCAATTTTACAAATACCTGTAATACTTTTACATCTTTTAGAGCTACAAAAATACCTCTAGATATATAACACCCGTTGAAATAAATGAAATAGCCATTAGTTTGGAAAATATCGACGTTGAACTTACCTTCGTTCTCCGTTCAAAGTCGCGAAATGGGATGAAAGTCCTCATAATATCGAGCAATATCCGGGGTACGGTATACCGCAGTGATAACGGCTATACATCCCAGAGCAAAGGTACACGAAAGTGAACTGCACCGCCCGGGTCGCACGTTTCACAGTCCAAGGCTCAATTTCTATCTAATGAGTTGAACGGGGGGCGGGGGAGTCTTGTACACGAAACGAAGAAGCTACACCATTTATATATTTAAGTGAAAGTGCGATTTAAGATGATGTGAAAATGCGAGGATACTGTAAAAAGATGCGACTTCCCTTTATACACTGATATAAACGATGTTAAGATGCGACTTTCCAAAACGTGTGAGAGGTTGGGGACGTAAAGTAATAACGTAAATGTGAAATTATACAGTGTTACTAAGACGCACTATTTTGTATATCCGATTATACGATATGGTCATGCAGATTTACAAAGAAACCAAGAGCACCGCATGCGATGTGTAACGCACACCTGTTAAAAATTCAAAGTCAAAAAAGAGACATAACTCAAAAATACTGCTTCAAAGTTAAGCCCCTTGTCTAACAACTGCACCTTGTCATGATAAGCAAGCATTCCTAGTTTCATGTTGAAACCTTGACATGTGTGAATAGTGGGGCTATTAAAAAAATTTGCATGAGGACATTGAAGACGTCGACAACGAAACAGGCGACATTAAACTGCTTTTTTCCCCAATTGAAGTTTCTTACGTATTTTTTAAAGCTGTCTGTGTGCTTTAAAAACAAAAATTGCTGGACTGAAAAATGATTGAGCTGATGACAGTAACCAGAATGTACATGTAAAATGTTAATTTACCGAAGCCGTCCATAGCGTTCTTCAGCGTCTCGGCACATTGTGTTGCCTCCTCGTCATTAAAATTGAATGTACCGCTGATTGTCGCCTATATAAAACACAAGTTATATGGTATATATGAAGCAAAGCATTATTTATATATAATTCTATATTAAAGTGCTGGAAGGAAGAAATTTGTATTATATAGTGTATGTTCAAATATGGAACAATTAGCAATAGAATAATTATTATTTTGCGATAGATAGCATAGTACCTGAAAAGGAAGCGACATGTATTATTTTGATTAAGCATATCATAGTGTGCAAGCTGTCATAATAAGGAGAGGATGATGACACCGAGACTTGTGGCATTCTTTTATTTAGCCTGCTATTATTTCTTTTATGGGGTTTTGTTGGGACAACTAACAATTAATAATTACACCGGGTACCAGCTCTGATTTTGCGCAACCAGCGTCAAATTACGCTTCTAAGAAGTGAGAAAATAGAACCGTTTCAATGGTAAAATTTGATTTTACTAGCTAAACAACCTCATTGTTTAGTTATAGGTATTCTAGTCGACTATCTCAACATTTCAGCTCATAATTAGTCTTAAGTTATCATCGTCTCCTTTATACGTACGTGTAAAACACAACAGCTGTATATCAGTTGAGTTTTTTCTACATGAATCAAGGAAAAAAACAGCACTGTTTTATATCAATAATTCAATACTGTTTTCAAATCGTCATTGAAAGTGTAATGAATATATTGGATCAGAAAGAACAAAGATGTGATAAACAATACAGTTCCTGCAATTTCTTTGGCCTTTCCACCCTTAAGTATGGAATCATAGAATTAGTTATGAAAATGGAGTATAGGTTTTGTCCGTACTGATTTTCAGACTACACTTTTTTCGTAATTTAATATAATGTAAGATAAATTGTAAATACAATTTACATTTCTGTACTTATAATGAGCACGATACAGTTTAAAAAATTAAGCAAGGATGTTAACAACCGTTGTCAATACTGGTTAAATTTTATGTTAACCCACGTTGTCGATAGTGTTTAAATTTTATATTAACCTGGTTAAATTTTATATTAACCTGGTTAAATTTTATATTAACCTGGTTAAATTTTATATAAACCGACGTTGGACACATCGATAGTGGTTTTTCATGTTAACCCACGTTGTAGATAGTGTTACATTTTGGTTAAACGCACACATGAAAGAAATTCTCCAGAATATTAACAATTCGAGCAATGTCTATCGATAGGACCACAAGAGTGCTAATTTCTTACAAAAAGCGTTTCACAAATGCTCATAACAGTGAACATGCACATTAAATGAAAACAAATTGACCAATACTAATTTCATTTTTTTCTGATTGGACGTCTTCTAGTGAACTTGGCCTCGGACAAATTACCTGACCTATGCGCATATACCTATTTATCACAGTGATGAAAATTGGTGTCAAGTTATATAACAATCACGACATGAATGTAGAAGTTTCACTATGGATAGGAATAGTGTTTTCTGCTAAGTGTTACATTGACCATTGACCTTTGACCAAGAGACCTATTTAATTTGTGCAACATAAGTTTAAATGATGTAATCATCAATTACAAAATTGTACGTATTTTTGCATATATTTACCTGATCTTTGACCTCTATGTGTGACCTTCACCTAACTACCTGAATTTTACATGCGACACTTTGGCTCACACTGGTCACGTCGCCCGCCTGTTTTACAGGCGCATAATGCCTGAAAATGCCTGCTCATTAATATGAAAGATTTTTTCATGGCAGTATCAAAGTATCACGTGACATAGCAGCATTAATGCCAGAAACTAGGATCATTCTAGAAACCCAAGAACTGTATTATTTTGTTGTAAATTTAGTTTGTATTATTCTACATAGCAAGAACTATCAGCACTCTATTCAATGGTAACTTGTGATTTTTTTAAACGCACCAAATCCGTCCATGGCCTCATGTAAAACTGTTGACATATCGGTTTTACAGTCGCAGTCGAAATCACATTTTCCATAAATTGTAGCCTAAAACAAAGACAGGAATTAGTGCTATTAAACAGGTTATAAGAATTTATAAACTATATACGTCCCCAGGAACAATAATGATAAAACTCAGTTACATTTTAATGTTGTGTCATTGATTTACAGTCCACACTATTCAAGTGTCCTTATAAAACAAAAAAAATAACATGAAATAATACATTTAAACAAGACTTGTCCGCAAGACAGCGCACTCGACTTTTCTCAGTGCTTGACAGAAAGAGGATGAGATATCTCTCTAAAAACGTAACCAATAGGTTAGAGACCTGTGCCATTCATGTACGATAATCACAAACAACACGTGTGTGAAGTTTCAGTTTTAGAGCGACGGCGACGTCGATACCGTCGTTCGTTTGTTTGTGTGTTTTTTTACGGCACGTCAACACATAACTGGCCACTTCGTGCCGAATGCTATATATAATAGGCTTAAAATGTTATGTAAAACTTTGTAAATGACAATAAACATGAGCCAATTAGATCGTCGTATAGTCGAGCTAAAAATACAATTACTCTACTCTTAACCGAGCAAGTTATAAGAAATTGTTCTCCATTCATAAAATATGATAATAAAATAGCCGAAATATTTATAATCCTCTACCTCTTCAAATATAAGATCATCATTTTGTTATACAAAAAATATGTTCACAAGAGAATAGCCTTAGTGCACGACTGATGTGGCTTTTCAGCGTATTTAATTTACAGGCGTTTACATCTTATCTTTCATACCTTGCTCACAGCCAGTTTAAATATTTATAATGATAATCAATAACTTCATGTATTTAACAGACGTTTATCACCATGCATACTTTCATCGGTGTCGGTGTGCCTGTTACTCACCCATCATGAATTTATCATTCATGTTCTTATAACATGTTAACATTATGATGGCAAAAGACGACGATACGTTTGCTGCGGGCCAATGGTTTTATTTACAACATTTTTACATGATATAGCTACATACGTATATATATTAACAAGAGATGTATATCTAACTTTCTTAACTCAGAACCTATTCATGTATGACTATGAAATACAAACCTGGCGGGCTGAAAAAAAAGCAAGTATCATAAAAGCTACACTAATCCCACTTTAACAGCTCAGTTTTATGCTTCTACAAATATTTTATTGCAAAATGATATTTGCACACGTTCAAGTAATAAGATCCATTGGCAAGATCACATCATCAGATCTTATATATGCATTAATTTCATGAATCATAGTGCAAAATTAAACAAGATCTTTCATTTTTATAAAAAAAAATATATGGTTACTTAGATATGCGAACATTAAACTGATATACTGTCTCATGAAAAATATAGTACATGCATATCTTAAAATATTACTATAATATCCCACAATTTTGTAGATTATTCACATTCTTCAAATACCAAAAATAGTTTATACTGCGTGACTGGTTAATCAAATAATAGTCCAATTTTCACAACATTCATTAATCACTTTAATCTCTTTTTTAATTTTTTTTTTTTTTTTTTTTTTTTTTTAGATTTTCTACTTAATCCCAAATATATACATAATATCCCTACCATTTTCAACTTGATTATTCGACCTCGCAATAGTAACTAACATTTTTCATCTGTAATCAATGACAGTTTTGGCAAAAGGACAAGTAACGAGCGGGTCAGACGGCCATGTGGTGTCCGCCGCTAAAATAAATTATTCATATATTGACTAAGATCGATGAAATTGCATTGAGACGTAGACTCTAGATTAAAGAAATTGAATTGTCTGCATTACCCTGAGTAACGTACGCTATAGTTTATAAACAATATTTGAAATGAAAATCATAAAAGGACTTACCATTTTTATTGCTGTAAAAGTCCTTGATAGACTGTCTATACGTGTTGTACGAGAGACGGATTGTAAGTTTTGACACACCTATCTAGACAAGTCACGTGACTAAGGTATGTAAACCTTAACGGGCATCAATCAACCTACACGAATACACAAGACAAGCGGGGGTGTTGTGATAACGTTTAATATGTGAAATTTATCTATCATTAATAAAAATTAAAGTAAAATCATCTCTACTATCACACACCGTATTACCGGCGGCAGTGATGGCAGATCACTGCAGTGATGGCAGATATCTGAAAATTACCGATCGATACAGGTAGGTTATTAATTTGGTTAGTTTAATTATATTACACAAATACGGCACATATCATTGCTATAAAACTATTGTCCATTGAATGGAGATACTGTAAGGTAATTTTGGACTCGTTTTTTCCTGTTTTAAGACTATTTTGAGCAGGTTAAAAGTGAAAGCCTTAGAAAAATCCGTGAAAATGTCTGTTTTCTGTTCAAAATATCTCAAGTTTTAAGTTAATGGCAGGATTTCCTGTTATCAATATAGACGTTCATCCATTGGGGTCACGCAAGCCAAATATCTACCCCGTGAGTCTTTTCTTGAAAGTTTTACAGACGCTCAATCTTGTCCGTTCGAAGAAAAAATGCTGCCGTTGTAGGCAGATACATATTATAAATGCTGCCGTCGATGGCAGAAATACCATGAAATTGGCTAACATTCTGACAGAAAATCAAGTTCAATTTGTTATCAATTCCTCTTTTCTTTGCGTCCTTTTAGTCAGAATTGAGACGTTAAACTATCATTTATAATATTTTCTCAAGATAGAAAAGTTAATAACCCATTACCCCATGAGCATCTTGTGAAAAATGGCTGTTTTCATTGAAAGGTCTCCCGTTACAAGTTCAAGTTGCTATAAAACTATAAAAACTGCTTCAATACTAATCAAACTTGGCACAAATGTTGACTGGACCATTGCCTTTGTAACAACATGTTCAGTCTGAAATTTCCTGTTACCATAGCAACTAGGGGACATGTCAAAATTGCCAAAAAAACACTATTTTGCGTAGATTTTTTCCATCAAAATTGATTTCAAAGTGCTGCCACTTCTCAATGGATTGAGATAGAGTCAAAGGCTTTTCAGCATTGGTTACACGTTACCTTATGATCGACCTGGGGCCATTTATAGCCTCCCACAAGTCCAAAGTTTTCTTGGCGAAGAGGGGGACTCAGCCCCCCTTCAAACCCCCCAAACAGAAGGGGGCACATCTCCCTTCTGGCAACCCCCTGATGTATCTTTTGGGTGGGGGGGGGGCGCCGAAAAAGTGGTCAATTTTTTAAACAACATTTATCAAACAAAAACAAGTGTTTGGGGGCCTAAATAAGGCATTTTTTCACCATTTGAGAAAGCAAAAAAGAAGGGGGGGGGGGTGAAAAAGGCGTATATATCTGGTAATGGGTTTACAGAAAATGATAAAAAAAACGAAATTACCCAAAAACGCGTTTTTCCATGTTAAAACATGGCCTCACATATAATTTTGAAGAAAAATTGCTGTTTTGTAGATTTTTTGATTTTTTTCATTAATGCGGTATGTGCATCGAAAAAAAGCTTATTAGCAACATGCAGTTACAATACAAAAAGTTATGATTTAGTACCACAAAATTTCACTATAAATAGAGAAATGAACATGAAAAACTTCATTTTTCTATATTCATGCATGTGTGCTTGATATGTTGTGTCTGTCAGTTACATGCATACAATACTATATGTATCTTAAGTTTAGCAGCGCAATCCCTTTTTAAGACATAACGCCAATTGCATATTACAGCAAGTAACTTCTGTAAGTGGATATTCATTTGCTAGCATATGACATTATTTTCTCGAGGTAATAATGTTCATCGCTTTATGACAAATAAAGGCTGAAATTTACTTAATCGGCGCAGATTATAAATTATTAAATTGATTTAATAAAGGGGAGACTATTAACCTCGCAACTGGCATCAGTGTATCATAAAAGAATGTATGTTAATGTAAAATGGAAAGATAATATTATTGACAGTTCAAATATTTTCCTATATTATCAAGTTCTTGAAAAACACGACAACGTGGATTCATTTCTTTAAATTTTCATGTTTGTAATAGCGTTGTAGTTTGCCTTTGAATTACATTTACTATGCTAAACTATTAACAACAGTTCTAACAGTGCTCCCATTTAACTATATATTTTTTCATTCATTTTAGTTGTAACCATGACAACTTATAAAGATGAACCTTTCGATGATTCATATCACAAGATGAAAATAAATCCTGTATTTATAGGGAAAAAAATAGAATTTTTTGATTTGTTATATTCTTTTTCTCTTTTTTGACCTTTCAATTCATATGAACAGATCAAGCACACATGCATGAATATAGAAAAATGAAGTTTTTCATGTTCATTTCTCTATTTATAGTCAAATTTTGTCGTACTAAATCATCACTTTTTGTATTGTAACTGCATGTTGCTAAAAAGCTTTTTTCGATGCACACACCGCATTAATAACTTTTCTATCTTGAGAAAATATTAGAAATGATTAACGTCTCAATTCCGACTAAAAGGACGCAAAGAAAAGAGGAATTGATAACAAATTGAACTTGATTTTCTGTCAGAATGTTAGCCACTTTCGTGGTATTTCTGCCATCGACGGCAGCATTTATAATATGTATCTGCCTACAACGGCAGCATTTTTTCTTCGACCGGACAAGATTGAGCGTCTGTAAAACTTTCAAGAAAAGACTCACGGGGTAGATATTTGACTTGCGTGACCCCAATGGATGAACGTCTATATTGATAACAGGAAATCCTGCCATTTACTTAAAACTTGAGATATTTTGAACAGAAAACAGACATTTTCACGGATTTTTTCCAAGGCTTTCACTTTTAACCTGCTCAAAATAGTCTTAAAACAGGAAAAAACGAGTCCAAAATTACCTTACAGTATCTCCATTCAATGGACAATAGTTTTATAGCAATGCTATGTGCCGTATTTGTGTAATATAATTAAACCAACCAAATTTATAACCTACCTGTACCGATCGGTAATTTTCAGATATCTGCCATCACTGCAGTGATCTGCCATCACTGTCGCCGGTAATACGGTGTGTATCATATGTGGACAAAATCTCTTCATTTTCACCGTGTATAAATCTTCTCTGACCAGTGTTTTATTGGGACTCGTATTAAATAACATCATGCGCATACATCAATACTGTTTTCATTTTCACGTTCTCGTGAGTTTTAAAGACGCATGATTCAATTCTAACATTCACAAAAGACTAATTAAAATAATAATGATAATTTTTTCTTTTCGTTTTATAAAATCATGATAATATAAGTGATAATTAAGAAAACTTTAATACAAATTATCTCTGGGATAATGAAGATCGCACGAATTTAAATGTATTTCAGAAAATGTTATGTATTCTCATACAGCAGATATTGTAATAGGGTTTCTTTACTTATAGCCGGTTGTATAAGCTTATTTCATTTTCATTTTTCCATTTCATTACATATCTTATATATTAAACCATAATAAATGTAGGTGTAATATTTATTTTAGAGTCTGGACTGTCAAAATAGATTAATCGGTACATAAATATGTTTATTGCATTTGGAATAAATGAAATTGGCGAAGCATAAATTATGATAATATTATCATTTTTGTGGGTTTACTCAAGCAAATAACAAGTAAATATGGAAAATATGTGACCCGTTATACAAATAAACATTTCCATACAAGGGTAACGTTATAACAGATGAGAAAATCTGTTAAACAAATTAATCTGCATATAATAATATAAAATTCTGGTAAACTAGCAAACAATATGGTTTTGTTGGTATATCATCACTGATAGCTGAAAATATATTTAATGCTGGTAGTGGTTGTAACTGGAAGATACGGTGGCACAGAGGTGACATGAGTGTGTTTTTACATATGTCGTGGCAACGAGTTACAAAGACGTGCGCACGAGATAATTAAGTCGTGCGCACGAGGTACTATGTCGTGGCCACGTGTTGCTAAGTCGTGCGTACGAGATAATTTAGTGTTGCGCACGAGATACTATGTCGTGGCCACGAGTTATTATGTCGTGGTAACGAGTCAATATGTCGTGCACACGAGTTCATCTGTCCTAAAACCTGCAGAATTAAGCCGGGAACATCAGACCACTTGTAAGACGCCCGTTTACAGGATGTTCTTTGCCCAGTTCCTCCGTCAGTGACTATTTATACACATTTTTTGTTCAATAGTTTTTTAATTGTCATGTGTCGAGTTGCTCTTCTGTATGGTGGCTGATTAGGAATACTTTTATACGTCGTGCTGTGGCTAGCGACAGCGTGACAAAGCTCCAAACGTCGCGTTGTCGCAATGTCGTCTTGTCGTCCTGTAGCTAACAAAGCACACCAAACGGCGTGTGGTCGCGATGTCGCTCGGCTCATATTGAAGGATTAACTATTTGTATATACATGTATATATAAGCTAAGCGACAGGGCGACAACGCGCCGCACGATACGCGCCGTTTGGCGTGCTTCGCTAGCGACAGGACGACAGCGCGACAACGCACAGTTTGTCGCGTTTCGGATGTTCAGTTGAAGGGGAATGATGGGTGTTAAGGAGATAGTTGGGTGTTCGTTCAGTTTTGGTGATGGGTTAAGGTGAGAGTTAGTGATGGTTTGAGGAGTGAGTAGGATGATGGGTTAAGGGGAAAGTTGGGTGTTGAGTTAAGGGGAGATATGGGTGATGAGTTAGGGAAGAATTGGGTGATGATGGAGGGGAGAGTAGTATGTTGAGTTAAGAGCAGAGTTGGGTGTTGAGTTGAAGGGGAGAGTTGGTTGTTGAGTTAAGGGGAGAGTTGGATGTTGAGTTAAGGGAAGAGTTGGGTGTTGAGTTGAAGGGAAGAGTTGGATGTTGAGTTAACGGGAGAGTTGGGTGATGAGTTAAGGGTAAAGTTGGGTGATGTGTTAAGGGGAAAGTTTTGTGATGAGTTGAATGGTAGAGTTGGTTGATGAGTTAACGGGAGAGTTCGGTTATGAGTTGAGGGGAGAGTTGAGTGTTGAGTCAGAGGGAGAGTTGGGGGTTGAGTTAAGGGGAGAGTTGG